AGAGGCTTTTTTTTTTTCAGTGTGCTAAAACATTTTTAGTAATGGAGCTTTGACAAAACACACTCCAGTCTTCATCAAAAAGATGCAAGACAGTGCATATTTTCTAATCGAAAAGATTTTAATGAAACCCACTGAAACSTAATGGCCRATGTTTTCACTTACAGCTTAAGGCMATCTATTCTAGTGCTTGAGAGGTTAAGGCATATCTGGAAGACACTCTTAGTGATTATTTAGTTTTAGGTAGTCCTATGAGGTGTAGGGATTTAGACTCAGTGATCCTTATGGGTGCCATTTAATCTGAGATACTCTATGGTTTTATGTTTCTATAATTTAGACCTCGGAGTTGTTTTTACTAGGAAATATATAAATATATAAATATATAAATATCAATATATTAATGTTGCTACCATTTTCATATACGTATTTTACAGAGAGATATTTTATATTCTTTTCAGAAATTCTCAGCAATGCTCACTAAAATGGAAACAGCAAAAATTACCTTGAGAAATAAATAACAGCATCATCATCTCTTTTTGAACCAGTGTCAACAAAGACAATAATCGAGATTAGTCATACCTCTTACATGTGCTTGGTACAAATATATGTTTATAGAACAGGATCAAAGCTTTAATGAYGCACTTTGAAATATTAAATCCTCTAAACCAGAAAATGGATAAATTCCAAATTATCAGTAAAAGGTTGTATTTTTTCCTAATTGATATCACACTTGATTCTTATTTCATAAAGTTGTAAAATCATGGACTCATTAGGGTTAGAAAAGACCTCTAAGATCATCAAATCCAACCTGAGCTTAACCTAGAATGGCCAAYTGCACCACCAAACCATGTCTCTTAAGTGCTCTGTTTACATCTCTGTTAAATGTCTCCAGGGATAGGGACTCAACCATTTCCTTTGGAAGACTGTTCCAATGCTTGACAGCTACTTTTGTGAAYRAATTTTTCCTAAKATCCATGAAACTSAGGCTGTGCCCTCTTGTTCTATCACTTGTTATTTGAGAGGAGAGACCAACTCCTACCTGGCTACAGCCTTCTTTCAGGCCKTTGTAGAGAGCAGTACAGACTTCCCAGAGATGCCTTTTCTCCAGACATTGGCCTTCTTGGCCACCTGGTCACACTCTGGCTCGTGTTCAGCTGCTGCCAACCAGCACCCCCAGGCCCTTTTCCACAGGGCAGCTTTCCAGCCACTGCCCCAGCCTGGAGCACTGCAGGGATTCACTGCAATCCAAGGGCAGGACCCAGCACTTGGCCTTGTTGTACCTCATACAATGGATGGTGTCTGTCCATATCTCCCTGCAGATCCTTCTGCTCTCCAGCAGCGCAACACTCCCACCCAGMTTGGTGTCATCTGCAAACTGAAGGAGGGTGCACTCGATCCCCTCCTCCAGATCATCAATAAAGATGTAAACAGGACTGGCCCAAATACTGAGTCCGGGGATCACAACTTGTGACCGGCTCCCAGCTGGGTGTAACTCCAATCACCAGCACTCTCTGTGTCTGGCCAACCAGCAGATTTTACCYAATGAAGGGTGCAYCTGCCCAAGCCCTGGGCTGCCAGCTTTTCCAGGAGAATGCTGTGGGAGGCAGGAGGCTTTAGTGAAGTCCAGGTAGACAATACCCACACCCTGTCCCTCATCCACCAGGCCTTGTCACAGAAGATCAGGCTGGTCWAGCAGGACCTGCCATTCCTGAACCCAGGCTGGCTGTGCCTGATCAGCTCTTTGTCCTGCACGTGCCACACGATGGCAGTCATGATGGTTGCTGGTCAAAGCCCCATCCATCCTGGCCTTRGWTACTTCCAAGGATGGGGYATCATCTGCCTTTCTGCAAAGCAGATGGTATTTGTAATATGAGATGAAAAATATATTTAAAACTAAACTTAATCATGCTGAGAAATGTGACCCTGTGTTTTTCTGATTCCAAATGAATTAACCCAGCTTCACCCTTCCTGAAGCCCATGTTTAATTAAGAAACTATATCAACCTAAAATAACAGTGGCTGMTTTCAAGGTATGGCCCTAGCAGAAATTGGAAATTAAATTACTAGGGAGGGTTCAGAAAGACCTTCRTCTGAGGACGTTATTTTTTCTTGAAGATATTTAGAACCAACGACAATTTCAAAGAAAGTAAGRTAAAATAATTGAGTTTCCCAAACTTTGCAAATTGTGTTTCACAAAAAGATGAAAAATTGACAGTCACAGCCAGCTGGGATCATCTGCCTTCCTTCTTATGTTTTTAGTGGAAACGTAATTACAGAGACATGTCTGATTACATCTCCCTCTTAGTGGAGGACTTTCTGGACTTATTCTACTTCTTGGAAGACTTTTTTGGTTTCACCATCATGAGTTGTTAYATAGTTGTTTAACAAAGCAACAAAGCACCTGCCTACAGTGTCATTCATAGGTCAGTGATTGCTAATGGGATGCAGAGTCAGACCCTCCTCCAGGTTCACAGTACACAGCTGTCCYAGGTAGGTAGTGATTATGTGTCATTACAACCTGATTCTTGTTCACTGTGCTGTCAAAACCAAGATTTTTGTGTTCAACCCATTTTTAATGGACAGGTGTTWCAAGCAAGTGGCATTAATTGGCAGCATTGCTGGTGATCTCAGCAGAAAACTCAGGGCATAAAATGAACAAGGACATGAAAGCTGTGATTACAGAGATCTCTGTTTTAGTGCTTTGGAGGAATGGTGTGGAGAGCTTTCAAGATGAACAGCACCAGCTGTTCAGTAGAGAAATGGCTTGAAGGTCAGCCMTCTCAGTACACTGGGTCAGACCAAAGAACCATCTAGCAAAAAAGCTTGTTCACAGCAGATGCCCTCAAGAGAATGCAAAAACAGAGGAAATATGTACAATTATTTATAGGGTGTATTTTCTGCACCTCTGGTCACTTCTGACGTAGRTGCTTCCTGAACCAGTTTGTTATACAGACTAACATTAATTCTCTGGTTTTATCCTACTGTCTTTCACTTCTAATCAATGCCCCTGCTTATTATTCTAGACCTTAAAGCCACCTTAGCCTTTTGCGCCTAATTTTATAAAACAAAATTAGCCAGTGGACTTGATTATGAAATATTCATGCTGCAAACACACCAGATCTCAATCAAGTGAAAACTGGATTTTTCTAGGGATTGCAATTGCTCAAAATGAAATTCCTCTCCCCATTAAGATTGCTGTCAAAAAGATTCCTTAGTGTTTTCAGCAATTTTATTACAAATTTTTCATTTACTAGGAAAGTTTACTTCAGTCCCTGAGTCTCAGTCATACTGTTAGAATGTGAAACTCATTATTCTGATTTATTTAAAGAAGTCAATAGAAAGATGTTGTTTACTGTAAGAAGGAGCTTGGGACAGGGGGTGGGGAATGATCATAAATCTTTATGAGCAAGACAAAGAAATAGACAATTCCCAGAATGGTTTTTATTTTGAGTAAGTTTTATGGCTTTTATAATATACCTGGGCATAACAGACCTGAAGTTACGTCATTCTGTGGTTTCTTTACTTTCGTAAATATTACTTGGTGCATATTTACAGCTCATATAAAAATAACCAACTTTCAACTCCGTTCTCTACTGGAAAGTTATCTGCACAATATAGGACAAAAAAATTTGGTTCAGAGACAGCACAAACTCCTACCTTTGACCTAAATATGTATGTCTGTGGGTCTTTCTCGGCTGCTTCTGCACAAATTTTATTGCTATCTTTATAAAAGAGTGAAATGCTTCACTGTCATGCAGAGCCAATAAAATAAATGCCAAGAAAAAAATTTCAATATATTATCYTCATGCATTTTCTAAGAAACTCCTAGATTGTTCAATTCCATATTTAATAAGCTTTTTTTTAGACTTATAATCATGCTCATAAATCTCCATTGGTATACTGCGCAGTGGTTTCCAGCATTTTCTAGTCCATTTCTAATATAATTGATTTTTGCCTGGAAACACTTTTGAAATCATTTGCAAACAAGCTCAGTTGCCATAATTTTTGGGCATACTTCTGTACTTTCAGCCACTGATGCAATGATGTAAACCCTGGATATTATTACACAAGCTAAAAAACTACATATTCTACAAGTGTTTATCAACTATGAAGTATGTGTGTCTGCAGTTWCCTGAATATTTTAGTGGTAGTGGCTCTGTGCCAACTTTTAAAATTTCATAAATATTTTCTTTTAATCATATTTCATTCCTGGTGCTCTTGTGCACTATTTAGTTGCAGTACATGAGGTGCTACATAAAAGGGCAGGCTGAACAGTCTGTGTATAAGCTTCRATTTGAGCAGACCCTTTACCAATATCTACGTATCCAGGCTAATTACCCTAACCTAATTTGCCTTTATTAGGAATTTGCCCAAATTTGATTTAAGRTTTCTTTTGTTACATGAAGTGAATATATTGTAAAATATTTATATTTTCAGTAGACATCCTTTACTGCTTAGGTAATTTCAACAATCTTGCCTTTCTAATAGAAGCATTTGAAGAAAGACTTCAAAGATAAAATTTCAAAATTCATGCATCTATAGGATGATAATGCAGAATTCAGAATTTTAAATCTACTGTTAAATTATATAATAGATAAAACTCACAATGCACAAATAATTTTTTCTAATGTAGTATTTAATTAGGATATGATTTGTGTCCTTTGATGACTGAAGCATGTGGTACAGAACAAATTTATTTAAATTACAAATATATATTATGTTGTGTTTAGAAAACACTGTTTCCTTTCTAATATCARTTATGAACACTAACAAAAATATAAATATTTTTAATGTTAAAGTAATACTGAAATTGCATCAAGAGCAAAATATCAAGATGGGTACCATATGGGTTTTAATTTCTCTGCCTAATCCTGAGTTTCTTGAATAATTTTATTGTAATGATTATTCACTTCTGAGACAACCAGAGCCAGAGATGCATATTCATGGGTTTTTCACTATATTGTCTCATAAACTCTCCTACTGTTTCTCATTTATTCTGCACAGGCACCATCATCACCGTCTTCACCCATAGCTAATGAACCAAAATAYGAGAAGCGCTGGCTGGACACCTTATCAGTTCCTCTGTCGATGGCTCGAATCTCGAGGTACAAAACTGGAACGGATAAATTAAGGTTTGTAATCTAAGAGGGGAGACACTAACTCAGCTGTTATGTTAGCTGTACATGGTGTTTTGCTGTGGATTGTYGGCTTTATAAGAATTGAGTGGAGATATGGAATTCTTCTTATTAAAAACCATGCAGTTCATCTGCTACTAGGACTAATGGCATGCATGGTGATTACCAAAGATAACGTAAAGCTCCTACAAATACGTTTCTGTAATCTGTTGTATCTTGGGAATTCAGTTAGCATCAGCAGCAAGCACAATGGTTAATCCTGACATTACTTGAATTAATTCTAAAATTACTACATTTCCTTCTGTATTGCTAATAGAATACTTCTATATTCCCCAATTCTAATATTGTCAATTAACTCTCCTTTTTAATTATAAATTATAACACTCTACACAATCATCATGATGGTGCTATCATGTCATATAGATATATTTGTGTCATAAAAACTCATATTAAGGTGATCTTGGCAAAGTACAAAATACTGTATTTTTAATCATAGAATGTTTTTGCATTTCAGAGACATAACTAATGTTTCATAAAGTAGCTGTGGAATAGGATGTCAAGGGTGATTTTACAGGGCTTCAGGAAAGATGAAAGCAAAAGTGAAGTTTAATAAACCTTCAATAAATAATGTGCTTGAGGACATTACAATGCCTACATCACAACATAGGCTTTTTCAGCAAACCATTCTGTGGTACAACTGCCTCAAATCTACCAGTTATTGTAGGCCAAGCAGTCCACAGTTCTCCAAATGTATTAGATCAGGAGTTGATTCACTATCATTATTTTCCATGTTCATTATGTGTTACCCTATATAAATGTGCCTTTAATATCTGTTAATGAGATTATTGGAATCTCTAGTGAAGCATCAATATACAGGTCACCTGCTACCAGGAGGTACCAGGAATTCATGGAAATATCTTTCTTGATCTATACCAGGTAGCAGGACAGATRTTCTGCTTTAACTTACAGAAATACATCTTCTACGGCAGCTCCTCTCCCAGAGTTTGCATTAAAGGTGAATAATAATAAATTGTTTAGAAAATTTTTAGATTCTTCCACAGGCTTTAAACTCTTAATTCTCTTTTACTTTGTGTCTCATCACTTCCTTCACCACTTTCTTCTTCCCTGCTTCAACTGACAATCTCATGTTGTCTAACCTCGCCCAATCTATCACAGAGCTCCAACTGTTGGAGGCTTAGAAATTCTGTGAATTAAGTAAACAAATCTCAGTGTTCACATTTAGGCATCAGCTTATCATCTGTGTTCTAAGAATCTAAGAATCTAAGGATAAGTGGAAGAGGACAGAACATTTAAACCTCTGAGTTCAGTTACTGCTCTGATTGAAGCACTTTCATTCTTGGGGTTTTTTTCCTCTTCTGTTTTCTTATTAAACTACCTTTATTTCAGTTTGTGAGGGTTTTTGTTCTTCTCATTCTTTCTGCTGTGCCTCTGGAAAGGGCTGGGAGAGTGAAGGTCTCCCTTCACTCTCTCTTGGCTGCTGGCTCAAGATCAAGCCATAACAGATACATTTTTCTTGTAAGACTTGAGGAGCTTRGTGCTTTCAGTTTTAGTCTTGGAGAGACATATTCTCTTGTGTTATATCTCACTCCCACATATATTTAGTATATCTATCACTTCTTAATTAGTACTGGGTTTCTTTCATTATTGTTGTATACACTGRAGGAAGATGAAATAATTCCATAAAGCCTACTGCCATCCCATGATACTTCTCTCCTAAAGTAAGTAGTCCTTGCTTATTTTGGTGTATCAACAAAAAACACTTCTATGAGCATTAAAGGAATACTCCCTTGAGATTAACTCTGGATGAGGTGTTTCCCATATTCTTGCTAAAGGTGTTTATTTTTGCCGGGGGGATACCAGACTGCTCTTGCCATATACTCTCCTCTGAAATGCATGTACATATTTTTACTATTATCCCACTTGTRTCCTTTCTTTTACATTTCCCCATATTCTTACACACTTCACTTCCAACATTTGTCTTCACTAATTGCTCTCTAAAATCAAATGTCTGCTTCACATGAAATAAAACCTATGGTCAGTCTAGACAAAAATCCTGCTTTCAACCATATCCACACATCTTTGCTCCTTTTCACATTTCAGCCATCAGTCTGAAGCCATTGGAGTGAGTCTGTGAYGATCCATTCCCCTGAATGGACCACTGATCATTTTGACCAATTTCCTAATTTTGCCATACCCTGAATCTTTACTTGGAGCCTATTCACATACGTGGTTTGACAGGATGCCTCTTTTTCCTGTACTACATGAGTCCATCAGCCTGTCAAACTTGTAACTTTTTGTCTCCCTCATGTTCTTTGTCATAGCTGTGTTTTGTTGCAATGTTTCACTATATTTTATCCGTGAAGTTACCTCAGTCTGGTTTGCAAAGGTGCTCTGGCATCAGAACTGCCAGATTATTTTTTAAATCAGTTTTGTTGAAGTATTGGAACTGTCATCTGTACTGTCACCTACACAGCTGTGTTCCTTCTCCTCAGCTAGATGGATGGTATGAAAGATCTCTTCCCCTACTTCGTACCTGAACTAAATTCAGRGAGGTCATATAATTATTTCCACCAAAAATTAGCTGTAGTCCATTGGCTTTTCACATAACTTTTTAACATTATGGCTTTTGAAACGTTATGAAAGACTATGAAAGTGTCTATCCACTCCCAGGAAATGAATGCTCTGTTTTTTTCAGTCCTACTCCCTGATGAAAAAACATCTTTTTCACCTGTGGAATTCTCGCCATTGGCTACAACAGAATTTACCATACTTTTATTAGTATACTCAGATTTTTTWWAAATATATAGTATTGTTTAGCCTATGTATAGTATATGTAAACCCAACTACTCTTGCTGTTCTGATGTGGTAAACTGCCATCTGCCAGTCTGGAAAGTTCCCTGACCTCATTCATTTTACTTCTTCCTGACATAGAAGATTGGTTCATATTTTCAGCATTTTTTTCTGGTGTTGTACGTAGCTTTCATATAACCTTTGGAACAAGAGCCTTGTTCCCTATGACCTTGTCTCTCATAATGTTGGCCAGAGTCAGATATTTTACCAAAGGCCAGCTTTTTGTTGCCTTTATTTTTTAAAAAATACAAATTATTACAAACTGTGGCATATCAGCATCTTACTCAATATTAATTTTGCAATTAAAAATACCTTATATAGCTAGAGTTGTCTGTTTGACTGTAGCATACTTTTAATGTGCCTTAGATCAAATCTAGTCTTAATCTAATCAGATTAGGCGAATTATTTTCTTTGTGGTTAAACTGTGTGATTTAAATTCTTCTGTACTTTGGCTGAATTTTCCRGTAACTTTGCCCAAAAAGGGCATACTTTCACCATACACTTGTGTCCTGAGATGGCCAAGTTCACGTGTATGTGTTTGATTCTTATTCTTTTTTCRTTTGAAGAGAAAGGAGTTGCCTTTCRCTTTKCATTTCACTTGACTTTTTATKGTATTTTTCCCAGGAAGTCTTTAGACCATGACTTAATGACTCAAGGATATTTTTTAAAGATGTTTTGAATTCTGTTAACACCCTCTSTATCAACAGAAACAAGAGAGAATGGGATAGATGTTTCCCTTCCTTACAAAGGAATGACTGAAAATACTGTACAATGGAACCGTGAAATATTATTAGCAATACCACAAAATAAAAGCAAAAAAATACCTTTAAATATTTTAAAGGAAATATTAGAAGCATAGTAGATGTCATTCCTCTTCTCAGTAGAAGATTAAACATTGCATTAACTACTGAAATTGTATCTTGAATCAGTGTATTTTGCATTCTTTTTATGTTTGGAGCCTATCTGAATATATTTATACATGCAGCATGCTAAGTAGTCTTTCTGATTACTTAGCAATTCAATAAATTTTTTATTTGATTACCTTCATAATATAGTACTACTGCTTTTATTATTCTACACTTCTACACTGTTCTCACCAATCCATCAATGTMATTTTTCTCTGTAAGAAGTAAGGTAATAGAAATGTATTGAGAGTGCTATTGCTGTGATTACTCTTAATTGCTAGTTGGCAACAGAAACATTTTTTGATTGTTGAGGATAGAATTGGTCAATAAAGGTAACAAAAGTTTAACAGAGAAATAATGAGATCAGTAACTTTTATTTTCCCCCAAAAGAATTTGTAGTTCATAGTATAGTTTGGGGTGGGTTTTTTTTAAGATAGAAAAGTAAAGATTGGTAGTTTTTGCAAGGTGGAGAACATAGTCCATTCATTGTATTCTTTAATTTTTGTTATGGAATTGTTATTTGGGAAAAGGCAGATAACTATTTTACTTAAATCCTTACAGCAGATATTCGTAGTGCTGTGTAATAATTTTTATACAGTGTATTGACTGGAGATTTGAGTGAAGGTACAGAAGCCATCACATCTTGAACATTATGAGTTTAGAGACTGAAGAAAAAATGTTTATTTAGCATATGGAAGATAGAAGTAGTGAGTGGATTGGAAGTAATTCAGGCCAAATAAATATGAGCCCATGCATCCATGATCCAAATTACAAAAAAACTTAATTAGATTTAGGTGTTATTTTCTATTTCTTGSTATTCTGACCATTGCAATTACTACAGAATATTGTGTATTTTTTTAAATGCTTCTGCTGATTTCTTAACAGATTCTYTCTGAAGGATTTTGCATTTAACATTTTAGTAAGTTAACAATGCCTTTAATTAGTTCAATAAATCAAAAACTAAGAAATTGAATAAATGTTTTGAAAAATATCTAGGAATTAAGCACAATCTCACCAAGTTACAAAACCTGAACAAGCATTTCTTTAGTTTTCTGCAGTTAGAAAATATCTGTAGAAGCATAACTATCTGTGTTACTTCAGTTATCTTATATGCTTGCTGTAAGTTTAATGAAAATAAACCAAAGTTACAACACTAAGAGCAAAATGTTCCCCCCAGAAAACACAAACATAAAATGYAATCCAAGTTTATGTTTAATGCTTTGATATCTTCTGAGCTGCGTAGTTTCTGTTAATTGTCCACTTATATGTGAACATTTAAACATTTTGTAAGATGCAAGGTTCTATGACATTTACAATATAAAATCCCATTACTTTTAACAGAACATTTCAAAGAGATTAAGTAATTTAGATTATTCTTTTTAGAAAGTTTCCACTCAGATCTACCCACAGTCCATAAAACTTCAGTTTAAGCAGAAATTCTAGCAAGAGGGTCATAAAGTAATATAAACAAACCACAAGAAGTTGTTTTTAAAAAGAGATAAAAACTAACTCAAACATCAAAAAATCATACAAACAGGAAGGAATAAWTATTCAGGACCTGGAAAGATGCAAAGCTGATCAAATCTCTCTATCTGTAAGAGAGATGCTGTCAAACATACATCTACATTTTTATAGAAAAATCTATGTAATAAAATACTTAAATAAGTCTAAGAGAGATTGCTTCACATGCCACAGATACCAAAAAAACTAAAAATGTGTCTCACTGAAATTCTTAGCCTCCAGTGAAATAAAAATTCAGATAAAAATTCAGATAAAAATACTTTTTATCTTAGAAAAATCATTGGATTGAACACCTCTGTAGTAGCAAACTGCTTGTGTGGAAAAATTTCCATACTAATACAAATTAATGGTATTTGAGTGTCAATGTCAAGAACTCAAAGTCTACCAATGCTCATCTGTTTTTCTGACTGATATTCTCATAGTATTTATTGTATTAAAATAAATTAATGATATAAACAAACTCTGGAAGAGACCAGGAATGCAGGTATATTCATAATTTTACCATGAAAGTGAGATAGAAAGACACTGAGTATGGAAAGCAGTGTCTCATGCTCTTAGCAGAAATGCTTGAAGGAAATAAAGTTACAGATAGGAAAACAAATCTGAAAATAAGACATATGAGGGCAATTCAACACAAATTTCTAGTATTTAGGAAATACAAATACTTATTTCTGGTTCTAGTTGCAGAAGTCAGTAGCATAACTGCAGTAAYAGAACAAGTAGGAATTTCCTCTGTGTGTTAAAATGGGCTTGGGGCTCAGGAAAAAGAAAATCCAGACCAACAAACAAACAACAAAAAACAAAAACAATACAGCAACTTTATAGCATCTCGAGACATTTCAAACTTACTATTTGGTAAAAAATGGAAAACTCTTCCTTGTCAGCTAACAAGAATAGGTGCTTTGTTGTGTCTCTATTTTCTTCTTCTCTGTGTTTTGAGGAAATGGAGGAGACAAAGGCATGTCATTTAAGCTTGTAGGATTTGTTTTCTTCAAATTCCAGTGTCATTTCAGTGCTTGCTTTGATTGTTTCACCWAAAGCAAAAGCCCCTGCATTCCTTTTGTTAAGCTTTTATTTTTAGTTMGGATATTTGTTTTTACTTGTAGCCKTCTGTACACTGTGCTTTTCAGGACACAGTGMCATACATGGAACAATATCAATATATTAAAGGATCTTCAGAGACAAAGTGTTGTAACTGAAARCAAGAAATAATCATAGTAAAGTTGATTAAGATTCAGGGAAAAAAACACTGTGTTATTACGATAGATTTCATGGCTGCCATCTGTAAAGTTTGAAAAACCTTGACTCCTTCTTATCCTATATGTGTATATATATATATATATATAATTTACACTGAACTGCTTTCTGGTAAAACCACCTTCCTGCTCAAGGCAGCACAGTGGGGACAGCAGTACCCCAAAGGTCTCAGTCCTGTGTGCCAGGTAATGTGAGCACCACTGGCACATCAGAAGCCTTAAATCAGACTGAGCTCCTGGGGAAAGATGCCCTGGTGTCAGTCTGCTGCAGCAAGGGAGCARCTCTGCAGGAAGGGCTCAGGGATCTCGACAGACACCCCAAGATCTGAGCAGGAGTCAGCTGAGCACACATTCAGTGATAGAATCCTATACAAAAGGGAATTAGCAATAACATAGCCAACAAGTCAAGGGAAATGGCTCCCTCTGTGTCCAGTTTTGGTCTTCCTGTGGGAAAGATTTGTATTTTAAGCAAGTTAGTGAGGAGGCTGGACCAGAGGACCTGCAGGATCCCTCACATCCTATTTGATTCTGTGCAAATATCCTGTTAATGAAGTGTTAGATCTCTAGATGAACATAGAATGTTATTAACTGTCATGTAATTGATCACCATATTTTAATAAGATAAAGAACAATAAGAGTTTTAGTGTAATCCATCATGTTTCAAATGGTAAAATATTGGTTRATTTTTATAATTACAGTAGTTTTTAATTTTTGATTGCCTGTTTTGGTTGCATTGTTAACCAAGGAGTTCCCTTCTGTGATCTTTCATCAGTCAKTTGTGTAACTTTGTGCAGTGGGATTAGGCATTCACATCTTTGTGCACATGCTGAATCTGAGTTAGTATCCAGGCACCCTGCAGTTCCATGGTKCTATTTCTTGGCTCTCTTAAATGCTCTGGACTGTCCTCTCACTATGTAAGGAATCAGGCATCTTAGTTTTCATATTTGAATTGGATATCTAAGCTGGGCACTGTGGATTGCCTCTCTTCACAGCACCAAATTAAGTGTGTTTCCAGGCRCCACTGTCTATCAGTGCATAAGGGCTGACAATTCTCGCTGTCTCAGTGGGATGTTGAAGAGATTGTACCATAAGTCATTTCGTTGTAGCACTGTTGGGATCTTTGTCAGAGCCTTAGGTAAAAAGAACAGTATGCTTGGGAGGTGATTATTTGACTCAGTCTACTTGAAAACAGTAAAAGGACTTTTTTTGGTCTTTTCTTTGTTTCTGAAGAGGTGAAAGAGATTTATTKAAATGAAAGTGACACAGAATTGTGCCACTGCCATCAGGTTTTAKTAGTTAATGTGTTTATTCAGTCATGAAAGAAAATCAGCTGATACATACTTAAGTCCTCAGGTCATGCATGTTAATTTTTGCAAACAGTAAATACTTTGCTTTACAACTCTTTTGAAAACAAAGAATCTCATATATATCTATTCAGATACTTTGTCTTATTGYGTATGATGGATAGTTTTATGGTCTTTAGTACCTTTTTTGGCAAGTGTTAGAGTTCAGTGTTCATGTTCAAACTCCCTACAAATGACAAATGTTACTAACATTTTTGGTAAGTCAAAAATGAATAACTGCCCATTACCCTCTATGTGTCATCCTGAATGTTGACATATATCATAAATTAAGCAGTAGAGAACTTCACCTTAGATCAGAGAACCCGAGGAAGACTCAGAACKTCACAGAGCAGTAGTCTTGTTTCAGTAACTGGCTTTCTTCTAGRTTAGTACCAGAAATGAAGCAATATAGCATATAAGTATAAATGTCTTAATTTTAAAATGTAGAAGGTAACAGTAATATTCTCCATATTCGATACAAAGCAAACATATGCACATTCATTGAGAWAATTAGAATTGTCTTTCACAATAGTATATAACTAAAATCTAATCTTCCTCTCAATCGTAGACATTTAAATGATCTAGGTATCTTTCTGAAGTTTAGTGACTGCAACTATTGCATGTTGCTTTTTTAAAATTTAGACCAGTGTGCTTCCATAGCACTGCTTAATTAGCTTTGGTTATTAGTATTGTAAAATCTTAAGAGTTAAAAAAGCATATCCCACCAGCATCCAGATGCAGGGGATTTCAGAAGTACCTACATGGTGCCTAACTTACTGCAGAAAGTAAGAAAAGGAAAGCATTGGCATTTCCAGAATAAAGTTGCTACTAACACATAAAAGTTGCATTAAAAGTTAATAAAATGAAATTACACATTAGCCTGTGCCAATGCTGTTTTGAGAAAACTATTTAAGGATTTTTTTAAAGCTTCTAAGAACATTTTCTAAATTCCTATATTGTAAAAGAACTTAAAGTAAACATTTCTTTGAATGATACATAGAAAAGAATAGTCCAAGAAATGAAAGCCAGGGAGGACAGTGTTTTGAATCTTCATGCATTCCTAGTAMATGAAGCCAAAATGCAATAAATAAAATTGGCATTTTGGTTTAAAAAAGCCCTGCTTTTCCAAATAGACCTAATGCATATTTCCTGAATGCACTACCTTAAGTGCAATAATTATTAATATAATATGTATACTCAGGAGAAGCAAATTATCATCAGCACATCTATATATTGGTACAGAGAAAGTACTTATTGTATCTGTTGCTCTTGGTACTGCCCTATTATCCTTGGGTTTGTTGCCTTCTATTGGTTGGTAAATTAAACACTCAAAAACTTGTCTAAAGGCATAAAAATYACTTGATAAATATTGGGCAGTTTCAGAAAACTGACGTATCTTCCTTTACGGATATATCTCTTCTTACTGCAGATCTAATGCATTTGAAGTGCTGGCACTCGATGGAGTTAGTACTGGGATACTTCAGTTTTATACAGCCCAGGAGAGTGCTGACTGGCTGAGAGCAATGTCAACTAACATCAGTGATTTGACACTTCAAAATGTATGTTACTTTCTGCATATTTTCTTGTTTGTGCTATTGTCAAATTATTTCTAGTTTTCAAAGGGTAAAAAACAATTGACATTTGAGATACAATASATAAAGTGCTTGTGTATGGGGAGGAAAAGGAGAAAAGAAAAAGCAGGAAGAGGTTGCCTGATCAAAGGTATCATGAAGTTTTCAAGGCTTGCAGTGTTAGCACAGAGAGCAGTAGAAAATCAGATTATGTTTATAATTTTAAAGACTTTTAGGCAAAATGTTTATCCATGCTGGTCATTTCACAGAGCTTTAGATGTGACCAAATATTTCATTTTTACATTTTTATAATTAAACTGTGCTTGAAATTAGTATYTGTTGATTTTGAAATGAGCATGTGAAAATTCTGTAACTAGTGAAGTATGGTTTACAGAGGCTCACTGAGAGACAGTATTTTTACCTAAGTTGTCTAAGAGTCGATTTATTTAAGGTCACATTATTCCATCTCCCTTCCTAAAATTATAAAGATTTCTATGCTATTTTAAGTTATTCCTCTAAATTAATAAGTAACAATTGCCTTCACAAGCAGAAGTATTAACTAATCCCTGGAGAAACAGAAAATTTCTATTTGGACAGCACATTTATTGTTCCAACACAGAGCAGCTAAAAATATTGTTAATTACAGAATTAACCATAAAGTTAAACAGGGAGCTCAATAATATACAATTTTGAAAATGTATTTGTCTTTAAGAAATGGTAAATTCAGTGATGAAAATACAATAGCACAGCTGTCCCTGAAAGAATTGCCTRTGCAGGTTTTAATCTTTTTTTTCTCTAGATGTGTTGAGTCTGTAACTCCTTTCATAAATTATGATTTAGTAGCATGATTTTAATTTATACCTTCTACACTAAATGACTGTTGCTTAGGTCTCCCGATTATATTGTGTAAAGTTTGCATTACATTTCAACATAAATCTTCAGTTAAAATTAAAAACTTAAAATTAAAATTTCATTTATTTTCCTAGTTTCAAAAGATGCATAAATCACATTTGATCATAATAGTTCATTTATTCCATTAATTCTTTTAAAATATTCAATTGCTTCAGCAATCTTTTTGACAAAATCAAACACACTTGCTTATGACGCATTCTTTATAAATAKCCTCTATTTAGTGACTCACATCATGTACAAGGTATTATTATTTGATAATTCTAAGAAAGTGTATGGTAATATTTCTAGAGCAATTCCAGTTCACAGTTCTTTCTAGAGAAATTCACTGAATGAAAGCCACTCTAATGATRTAAGTGAATAAGAATAAAAAGTGGCTATAAATGCAGGCAGTTTTTATTAGTCATAGGGTGCTAGTCTGTTTTTTTCAAAGGACTATGTGCAGTGACTAAGTGTCCTGACATGGTATCTTCACTGTGCTGTGACCTGTTGGCAGCAATATTTTATTATAAACTGAGTACTTTCATTAGTCTTCTCCACTCCCTGTAAGTAGGGAATTCTATCAATAAAGTAATCCATGTGGTGTTCATATAACTGACTTTTCCCAGGAAGGGCCTGAGAAGCAACAGTCATGATGAATGTCCATATTTTGYGTTCTTGGTCAGGTACAAAGTGAACTCGATGCAGCTCATATGAGAAGCACATGAACTTTTTGCTTGGAGAGGTTTAAGAGGTTTTATCAGGTGTGCAGCCTGTGGTAAAACTGAAGGTCTGGCCAGAGCATTTTTTAAATTATTGATGATCAGAAGGGAGATGCAGTAGTCGGTGAGAATCCCTTTTGTTTCAAACTATTATTAAGATAAGGATTGTGAGGCTGGAGTGCAGAAGAAAGCTGGAGAGCACTCACCGCTCCTGGGCAGCCAGAACACACAGACCACTGTCTACAGTGCTCAGGGTAGGGCCTTTCAATTAGGCTTCTTGAAAGTCCATTTGGAATGCTTTTTATTAATTACCTCAGCCCTATCATTCCCAACAATGATTCTTTTCTTAWCATACCTCTGACACTGACATTAGGRAGTGGATCTGTAATTCCTTCCGAGCTTCTTCCTGTTTCTGCACTTCTTTACTTCTGTAGAGCGTCTCCCCATTCTACAGGAGTGCAGATAATCAATACTGAGAAACTGCTTCAGAGAGTTCCTTGTCTGGTTATGGGTAATTTCCATGAGTACTTACTGACTCTAAGTTCAGTTGCTTCTCCAAATATTAAAACTGTTGATTTTCTTTTTTGTCCCATGCCCTCATTTCTGTATGGAAACTAATTATGGAATACGTGGTCACAATGGACTTTCTTGATAATACTGTTGGCATAATGTCATTATCCTTACCAGAGCTGTTACTAGGTTTTTAAGCAATACTTGCCATTTTTACCTCTCTAAGTTGTCTAAGAGTTGATTTATTTAAGGTCACGTTATTCCATCTCACTTACTAAAAACATAAAGATGCTTAGRCTATTTTAAGTTATTCCTGTAAATTAATAAGTAACAATTCATATTTTATTTCCATATATGCTTACATTTTGTTTTGGTGGTACTTGTACCATGACTTTAGCAACTTCTCTGGGACTTTAGTCATTCTTACTTAAACTGTGCCTATTTGTGCTACTCTTATCCTTTGTCCTACATATCTGCATGACATTTTGAATAATTTCTTTTAGAATTTTAGTTCTTAAAGAGCTCCTAATAGGGATTGTTTTCATATGGTGCACTCASTCTTTCCTGTATCACTTTACCTGAAAATACTTCATTTTTTTTCATTTTACCCTAATACAGTCATGTTCAGCAGCTCTTTGTCAGATCTCCTGCTGATGCCAGGAGACAGTCCTAATGTAGGTAGTGCAAAAATAGCTTCGCCACAATGTGACACTTCTGCTAATGTCAGACTACTCTTTTGAAGTACTGAAACATCTAACTTCTATACAAAGGCAAGCTCTCTGGGGATCAAGTGTATAGGAGGGATCATCTTTCAACAGTGAAGATGTGAGAAGTTGTCACTGCATAGGAATGCTGCCCCTGTCTGTTAGCATATTCTGGGTAGATGAGAAATAATGATTCTGGTACCAGCCTGGAGTCAGTTCTTAGATGACAGAGGAGCACAGGGAATGCTGTAACATGGAGAAAAATGTAAGGGTGTCTTTTCGGCCCTGATTGCTGATACATGCTTTGTATGCTTRGCTCAGAAAATCTCCTGGTAATAGTCAGCTTTACAAGCAACATGCATCCACTTTTTTTTTTTCTGAGAACCCTTGCCACAAATTATTCATCTCTCTGTTCATATTCTGTTTTTTTCACATACTTTTCTACCAGCATGAAACTACCCTACCATCCTTCCTTGTGATTCAATCCCCATTTTCAATGTTCTCAAAGCTATATTTACCTTTGGCAGAAATAAATAGAGGTGAATCAGCACCTCACATTTATTTCTTCACGCACCTCTTTTCTCACAGAAGGAGGTGCAGTTGAAGAAACTGAGGGAAGAAGGATAAAAAACTGATAGTGAATCCTCCATGATGAAACAAGAAGCACAGGAAACAAGTTAATCTACATCTGCTTCTCACTGCTCCTGTTCTTAATTTCTTCAGCTGAAGGGTTCTTTATAGGCTGAATTGACACTCTYATGATAGCCATAATTTTTCAGGAGAAAGTTCTTTGGGATTATTTATATTTCTGTCTCTATTTTTCACCATTCAGATTGACAGCTATTAGATATGTGCAGCTTTTTCATGGATTTTAATTATTTTCTTTGAAATACAGTCCTGAACATTAATTTAGTCATAATCAGTAGAAGCACCTAAAGGTAATGCTGTCCGTTCATTTACATTATAGAGTTTTGTTTCTTATACTTAAATTTCCCAAGGTTTTGTGGTTTTTTGCCAGTATATTCTAATGGTGCTACTTTTTTTAAAAAAAAATCATAAATTAGTAGGTCATAAGCAGGTAAGAGAACAACTTACGATGCACTTGTTCCACTTTAAACAATATTTATGATTTTTATAAATCATTCCAGCAGTTTCATTGGAGGATGATAGAAACTTAAAATTTTATATTAAAGTAAGGTTATTAATTCAGATCACATTTATGCCCATGACACCTTTTTTAATTGTATATGTCATAGTCTGTAAACCTTCTCTTTTGTTTCTTCATGTAAGGAATGATCACCTAATCATCTAGGTGATGTTCTGTATTGCAGTCATGTGAAATTTCTGTTGTAATACGGAGAGATTTATGAAATATGAGCTTTGAACATACATTAAAAAAAGAAAAGAAAGAAGATCRAGAAGGTCTTGCTTGCTTTATCCAGCAGAATGTGGGGTACATGTAAATGGAAACAAAATCCATGTGGGTAGGAAGCAGTATACAAATTTGACTGCTTCAATGATTACACAAACAACTCTACTCCTGGGGTGAGAATGCTTAATACTTCTTCTCTGTTGTTTTTTGTTGTTTTTTAAATGCAAAAATTTAAATGCAAAAATCACAGTTCAAATTGTAGAGGTTGTAAAGGGAAGTCAGTAGGGGTAGGAACCATGTCCCCTAAACTTAGCCAAGCAATAAGTAGGATAGGATAGGATGGGATGGGATGGGATGGGATGGGATGGGATGGGATGGGATGGGATGGGATGGGATGGGATGGGANTGGGATGGGATGGGATGGGATGGGATGGGATGGGATGGGATGGGATGGGATGGGATAATAAGTAGGATAATAAGTAGGATACTAATACATCTAGAAAAAAGATAGGTGACTGTCAAGATCCTTCACTTCCACTGTTTTCTGGAAAGAGAATATAGGTATATTATAAGTGAGATAAATCTCAGCCTAGGAGGTTTTTGGATTTAGGTAAATGGTTCTGAATAATTTCTTTACCCCATATGTACCCATTTAGAACAGAGTATAGGAATTACAATTTTCTTACTAGTTCCTTTTCCAAGTTGCCTGCAGTCTTTACAGACCCAGCTTTTTTTAGTTCCCCTGCTGTCTCCAGCTCCCATTTCCATACCWCAGTGCTGAGAGCTCAGGTGCTGCCAGCAAGGTAAATGTCTCCCATTTGTATTCCTGTCTGTCTGCACTGGCTGTGGAGGCYTGGGAAGGGCATGTGGTGCCGGGTGAAGTGAACAGTTTGTGCTTTTCTCTCAGCCTAGTGACACTGGGATCYAATATGATATAAAAGCAGATCTTTCCTCTTCCCACAGCTACATCAAGGCTGCAGCCATCCTGCTTTGGATAGGGAATGAGCTGTCTGTGCAGTGAATATCTCTGGAGCCCAAAGCATTCTTCCCTATTACCCTTACCAGTGGGAAGCTGCACAGGCTATAAGGATTCTCTTCACAATACCCTGCCCTCCTGGTGCAGAAAATCTGCATGGCCAGTTTGAGACACATTTTTCCAGACACATCTGAACCCATTTATTTGCACTGGTTTGTGCTATAGTGATCATTATTGAGCATTGTTGTGGGCACCTGAAAAGAAATTATATTTTCTGTGTGTATAACATGGCTTTTATATGGTTACTTTGTGTATGTATTTGTGTCTGAAGCACAGGAGAAAGGTTGGATCTGAATATGGGCAGGGTATATCAGCATTTCTACTGACACTGAAGTATTCCAGATGTCTTTTCATTACTTCCTGCACAACTGCTCCAGCAGGATTAAGCCCACCACCAAATCAGACTGCTGAGCTCGGCTTCCTTYTGAACACTGGGCATGTCACCATGGTATGCCCAGGATGCCTTGGATTTCTTCTGCTCATTTCCTAAGACAATTGTAGTTTTCCCTGTGCATAGGAGTAGGGTTTTGGTCTTCCATCACAAGCCTTTGATTTCTAATAAAACAGGCTTTTTGATAACAAGGTTCTTTGGAAGTAGCCATCAACTCTAGGACAGTTTTCAATGCTAGCTTACACCTAGCATTTTGGGAAGTCTGGTTTTCCACTCTAAATTATTTCTTTCTAGATTCTTATCTATRCTTAATAATATTACACTTTGAAGAAATGTTGCACTTTAAAGGAGGGAATCTATGTCAGTGTTTGTCCACCACTCATCTATGCAAACTATGACTGCCAGGGAAAAGTCAAAATGAACAAAACTCTTCACTGTCTAAACAAAGAGGAAAAGCTTTGGCTTGAAGAGTAAACTAAGAAGAAAGCCCATGCAATTTTTCTTTCATCTTTAAATACAACTTAGACTCTATGTTCATCATTTCACAAGGATTTAATTACAGACCTCATTTAAGAATCTGCTTAAGTAATTGTTTAACTGAGACCTAAATGGGATGTCTACAGTACAGTATAACATTTTCACTTAGACTGGCAAAGTCTCAGGAAAACTGATAAAAGGCCTTTGTCTTTCAAATCCTTGGTTTTGTAAATTCAGTATAATGATAAAAGTCTAATATTTAAGAACTGAATTGCATCATTTCTTACAAATGTAATTTGGAAGTATTGTTATAGTATTCAATAAATAAGTCAATCAATGCTAATTGCATCACAGAAACTATTCAGCATATTAATAACTCTCTGTTCTATCTCTCTTTCATAGATGAAAATGGCAAATAAATGCTGTTCTCCCTCCGATCAGGTAAGATTTCCATTKTATTATCCATGTTTTTATTTCTTGTGATTATATTGTTGGAAAGTGTGTAGAGCTTGCATTTACACATCTAGTCAATTTAAAAATTCTAAAGTTTTCTATGGTTTAAAATTCTGAAATTGCCTACTCAATATAGCCGATTCTTAATATGCTCAATAATCCACAGTAATGAGTAGAATCCTCTGCTGTAAACCTAAAAAGTGGATTAGATGGAGCCATGAAATACGTGGGAGGGAATGATGGAACTCCCAAACAGGTCTTGGAAAGCACAGTCTATGTTTGCATGCAACACTGCAGCTGTGGATCTGTTAACTCTCAATTTACATCACATATGGTGCACAGATAGCCAAGGAGTGCATTCCAAGTCCAATCTGTTTTGCATGTATCGTGCCATGCAGACTGTGTTTGCCATGACTGTTTGTGGCTTTTGTAGCYCAGGAGCCTGATGATGTATTTCTTCTACCCCAGCTAGACCAATGTCCTAAAGACCCAGATAAATTTACTGGATTGGGAARTGTTCTTGCTTCTTGCAGCATTGAAAAGCTTTTTTTCTCTTTCTTTGTAAAATGTAATAGTATAATTTTCCAGGCTAATTCATTTAATCTGGAAATTTGATTTGGATATCTTTTGTTGGATGAACTATCTACTGCAAGTGCTTTACTAACTATTCAAAGTTTTTTTCTTATCAGTTTGGGAATGCATAATAAGTTCAGCTGAAAAAAGGAGGGCATACTGTTCCTCAATTTTTAAAAAATTTTGGGGGYTGTTATTCAACTAGATACATATCACTAGATACATAATTTGATTTTCTAAATAAACAGGGTAGTCTCCATAAACTGCCTAAATAATCAGTGCAGAAACTTATTTTGTTCCAGAAAGCTGTTCACATGTGAAACTTGATATCAGTGCTTTGAATCATCCTTTATAGGAGCCACTTTTGCTGTCTTGATTTGCGTCTTAGCCTATCATCTAAAGTAGGTACCCAAAGTTAGGCAKCACAAATCTATCCCACTTTTTCCATTCCAAATATGAAAACAAGGGACAATACAATTAGGACCTTAATTTCAGAAGCTGCAAAGGTAGAACTCACAGCAARAAATACTGGATTGTTCTCTGCCAAAAAGTGCGGCAAAAAAAGTTTTAATGAATTTGGCCAGATCAAGTAAACAAAACTAGAAAGCATAAAAATATTAAAGGAGCAAATGTGAAAATTCAGACTTTGTAGATCCTGAGAAAACTTGCTTTAAAAGCAACCAAAATGTGAATCTCTCATATATATATATATATCACAAAGGCATCAAATAAAACTTGGCAATGATAACTGAAAGCAGAAGAGTACATGTTCTGTCCTAGATTAATGGAGCCTATTAGTGTCAGTTACATAATGTTTGTACAGACCTGAATAGCTCTTATTAATGCAATTGATTTAAAGTTTGGAGAAAGGATAAACTTAAGAGATCGAAGGTTACTTGAAGAACTGCCTTGAAGTAAAATTGGTGATAGCAGCAAATTGATCTTTCCTTTTGAGTATGGACATYCCTGAAGAATTAAACAGGTCCTTAGAGTTTCATTACTGTGTTGCCCGCGGTGAGTTTTCTTCATTGTTTTTAGAGTCCAACTTTAGGTTTAATTCAGGTTCTTCACAGGGCATTAATAGACTAGGATTCAGGGTCGTCCAGATTGTAAAAAAATGACTTTGTTAAACTTGGCTTTCTTCTTTGTCTTTCATATTGGCTCTGACTGGTTTTACTGGAAACTGAATCTCCAGAACATTATAAATTCTGTGGGCATTTAAATAAAGAAAATGGGAAAGAAATAAGGAATTTGTTCTTGGGTCTAAACCATCTGTATTTATGGGTCTCTTTGACAAAAAGATGTCAAACAAACATGGTGTGATTCTTGACCTGTGCAGGGCTGTAAGATGGACTTTGATGATCCTTGTGGATACCTTCCAACTTAGAATATTCTATGATTCCCTGATTCTATGACATCCTGTGTCTATGATCTAAAGCTAGAGGTAGTAGGAAAGGTAGAGGTAGTTGCAGTTATTACTGATATTTGTTAAAATAAACATGTGTTTATTAAACATGAGTGCCAGGTCATGAACTTAATTGGCACAGTCTGGCAACTTCCACACTTTTAAATTATTTTTGACCACCAAAGCAGGGTGTCTGCATTTAAACTGCTTATTGGAACTTATTTCCACCAAAGCTGGAATCCTAGACTGTCTGTGGAAATTGTTTGGAGRGTTCTAGTTATACCTAGAGACGTTATGGTAGTCACTCTGTGTCAAGGACTACAAGATTTTAAGAAATATTCAGGGATTACACAGATTTCAAAGATATTAAATGAGTAGCACTGGTGAAGCTCTCATTCTAAGTGTCTATGTAACCTGTGTCATTGATGAAACACACAGCATCTAAATATAATGACTTTTGATTTTGCTTGATATAATTTATTATAATACTCTAGACATTTTGAAGCACTTGATTCTTTGGTAGATTTGGGACTCAATTTTCCAAAAATACACACTGTTGGAATGCTCTTTATTTTTTTATGAAAGTAAATTAGCCAATTCTCTCTCTATACAGGTAAAACTACTTGCATTTTTTTCCTTTGCTGCATAATTTTTTATGTTTTTAAGACTTTAACTTTTTTCACAATTATTTCAGGGAATTTGTATCTGCCAAGTGACATCAAATAGTTAGGAAAGGGCAAACATCATGGCTGTTAATGAAAAAAGGAGGAGAAGCTGGGCAATTAGAAACTAGTCAATTTGACTTCAATCTCTGTAAAGAAATATTAAATAAATAAACAAAATACTGTATGGAACAGAAAGATAATGAATGACTGCAATGAAGGATTTGTCAATAATAGATAGTGACGACCAATCTAATTTTCTCCTGTGATCATGTAACATATCTTGTGAATGTGTGTGTGACAGGAGGTTGCTATATATCTTGATTCCAGCAAGGTTTCTGACAATTTTTGACATTACAATATTTTAAACAAGTATTATACAGATCTGGTTGTATGGATTTTGTTGGATAATCCAATATTAGGTATAGATGGTTCACTTTCAAAACTGACATTTTGACTAGAAATGTTGAAGGGCTCTGACTTGGATTCAGTTCCCTTGAATACTGCCTTTATTGTGCATTAGCAAAAGTAAGCCTGCTACTTTTGCAGACATTAAGCTTTAAAATACCRTGTTAGACATATGAATGATCTTTCCATATTGTAGAATGAGTCTGAAAAGCAGAGTTGCAGCAAATTAGGACACTGCATATATGCAAGGATACCTAAAYATATGTAAAAAACTGGGAAAAAATTCTGGTTGTTACTGGAAAATGCTTGATGGTTATCTGGGAGTGTAAATTCTTTGAGAAAGGTTTGGTTCATCTACCAATGCCTTATTAGAACTCAGAGATGCCCCTATCTGCAGAAGCCAGTCAGATAGAAATAATATGAACAGGTTCATTTTTATGAATTAGTACTATAGTTTGGAATTACGGTTTATTATTAAGGGTTATTATTAAGGTATATGATTACATGAGGCTGTTGTAATCAGGTACAGGGTTGACCAACAGACACCTCAAAAACTGGCATTCCTTTAGTTTATATTCCTTTTTTCCCTTTTCCCTTCTCCCAAATAAGGACTTCACCCGCACTTTACTGCTTCCCCACTGGCTCCTGTTTTTCCTGAATTTTACATGCTTATCTGGTTACTTCAACCTTAATCTGTGATACCACCACAATTGTYTGTAAGTCAGTCCCTTTTTTTGTTATCTTTTGACATTTTTCACCCATTATTAACTTTCTTTTAGTGTATTTCACCTTCTGGTTTACCCCCCTATTGCTGTTTACCCCCTCATTGCCTTCAGCTACCACCCAAACCCTTCCTCCACCCCATGAGTGACATTCAGCACCGTTCCCTGGTCAGTYTGGCATCAGGCCAGGCTGGCTGCTTGCCTGCATGCCAGAACAACCTTGTYTCCTTGGTGGCTTTTGGGAAAGGCAGGCAGGGTGGGCTGTACCCAAGGGAGCTGCTGCAAGACACTCTAAACTGTTTCTGTTGCTATAAGTCCTTGGCAGGAGCACTGCCTCTGATTTTATGCACTATATTTCTGAAAAGATATTGGCCAGAGGTTTTCTGTGGCCTCTGTGGGCAGGTTGAAAGAAATACAGAGAGAGAGGTACGAAAGAAATATTCAGTAATGATAACTCTGTGCTCAGAGAATAATATATGAAAAGCAGCAAAGAATGATGCCACACAAGCTACATATCCTTKTCTGTGGATTCTTGCTCCGTTTATGAACTGAGTAAGCTTTTTTAACTCTTCCAGTTTAAGGTGAAAATCATTTGCGTCTTTAGTGGACACGCAAAAGAGAGTCTTTAATTGTGATTATAACAAGAGTGATTCATGTTTGACATAAGTAATAAAGTGCTAGAATAGATTATTGAGAGAAAATAGRATGCCTCCACTCGTAGAGGTCCTGAGAACATTAAAGAAGCATTTTTTAGAAACAAAATAGGTATCATGGCCACTGCATTTTGGAGAGGGTAGAGTACCAGGTTCCTCAGAAGCCTCTTTTCTGTTCTGTATTTTGTAATTATAGGATCATAATTTTAAATAAGAAAATTTTCAAATATGAAGGGCTGTCTTATTATTCCTCATAGCAGAACTGCTGCTGCAGGCATTACATGAACATGTTTGCCTGGACTCATCCTGCAGCATAAAAGAAACCCTGCACCTACTCCTGAAAGATCAGTTTATCTTCTTTTTTCTTTCTTTTTCTTTTGTTCTGAAAACAGAGAAAAATATATTTTAAAATATAGCATATAGCAATAAAATTACTTTATCCTAATGGTTAGTCTGGAAAACTTAGATCCTTRAAGACTATCATTTTAAAACTTACACTTATAGAAACAGAGCAGAACTAAATTCCTTTAAGCATAAAGAGACCACATAGAGATAGAATTGATATATTCCGTAGTAATTTTTTTAACTTTATTTATATGGGAGGACAGTTTTTCAATTCCTAATTAAATTGTCTTGATTTGCCTCAGTGAGTTTTTCYGGGACCTCAGATCCTCAACTGAAAAAATGTACTCTAACTGAAGTACCACTTAAAAACACTTAAAACTTTTTAACCTCTAGTCAGCTAATATGCAGTGCTGTGAGGTAAATATGCTATGCAAGCTAAACAGCAATAGTTTGAAATGGCTTCTTCTTTATTTTCTGCTTATTAGGGATATATTTTTGTTGTAATATTGCTAAAATATGAAGCAGACAGAAAAGACAAAAAAAGAAAGCTGGAAGGATGTTAGTTTCCCRTTTTTATTTAGTTCGTTTAGTTCCTGCTGCACAAATAGTGTTACTGATCTACTATAATATAAGAATGCATAATCAGTAAGACAACTTCCTGGTGGTAGCTGCTTTCAAGAGAGAGTTCTGTGCTTTGGATTSTAACTTGAACAAGAAGGATATTATTAGTAAAGGTGAGAGACASCAGGTGCAAATTACCAACCCCCTTGTTAAAACAAACAAAGTGTAGAAACTATTATTGCTACCAAAAAATAATTTGTAATCTAAATTTTGCACAGKCAGACAATACCTGGGAAGTCACATGAATTCTAATACATACCTACCTTCATAGTTCTGTTCAGCTTAGTATGGATTATGTTGCTAATTGTGGTGTTCAAACTATGCACAGCTTGGAGTTATAAATTTGATTCTTGAACAAAAACACACAAAACTCATAATTTCTAAGTTCCTCCACATATTGCTGTCTAGAACATTTTATTTCAAATAGTATCTTTTCAGGCTACTATAACTGAATGCAACTGATGTACAATGGAAACCAGTAATGTAATGTACCAAAACTTCCAGCATTTGAGTTTGATTTTTATTTTTACTTTATTTTTAGTTTAACTTTATGTAGAAGGACTGCTTGCCTTATCTACCACTCCTTCCCCAATAGTTGTACTCTTCAAAATATGCCATCTACCACTTGTTTTCGAAAAGACACAAAAAAATTATTTGGGGTACCTCCATAGTGCCTTGTGGTATGATACTGGTTCTTAATTTGCAGGTCAAGCTGGCGTCTCTTGTAGATTCTTATCCCACTTTAATTACATAATTKTATCTCTCTGTTGATTTTCTTTCTTCAGTTCCCTCCTGAGTGTTTTGCATCATTTACTTTTCATAACTGTTTAACTAAAAATACTATATACAAAATGTACTAACTGCTTTATTAAATTTAACACATGTTAAATTTCCAGTCATTGCAACATCTAGTTGTTTTTTTTTTTTGCTGTAGGAAAACAATAAGTGCAAATAAGAACTTTCATTTATCTGCTATGATTAGATTACATTTTATTAGTGACTTGTTTTATCTCCTTGTAATGAGTGCCATTGCTCATTTTCTTTATACAGGAACTTTTGTAAAGTGTRTTAGAATATGTTAGAAACTTAATAATATACCAATGATGTATGGCAGTTTTCAAACAGCAGTGAAAGCAATGCTGAGAGTGGGACAGTTTGTAGTATTGTGCCTTATGAGCACTCCTGAATACTTCAAATGACAGTTTACAATCAAAAAATTTGMATAGTTTTCATCCCAGGACTACCATTCCCACCCACGTACTGAGATCCAATTAAAATCTCAGTAACCCTGTAAACCACAGACAGCTTGTTACTGAGTACCAGCACTTGTTTGCTTTTGTTCCATACAGATTTTTGTTTAACAGAATAATTATTCTTTCTTCATTTCTGAGGTCTAAATAAACCAGTCAGTTAGAAAGATATGTAGAAAGAAAGTAAAAAAAACATGAATTTATATTGGACATGAGTATTTTTGTCTGTATTATTTGATATTACAACCCTGATAAATTGAATATATATCATTTGTGGTAGAGTATCAGAAATAATATAATATATTTTGATAAAGTAGTGCGTTGTCTGAACACCCTGTTTCTACACTTCTGCTGACTACTGTAGAAACAATGTTTTAGTGGGAGTTATTAAATTTACAGAATAGCAAATCAGGAACTTGAAGGGTTATTGAATTTATTGTGTTATTTCTTAGATGTCCTTAAAATGTTAATGCTGGAGCTCAGTAGAACAGTATGTCTCAACATTCTGATTTATTCTTCACTTATTGATAAATTGATTAATACAAGACATAATTGATATGTTAGATACCAACATTAGAAAACAATGTGAGGTTTTCATAATACAAATATGAGCATCCATCTATACTATTAGCTAGTGCTTTGCTATTTCTGCCCCTGTAACTCATTACTGTCTGTAAGCGTAGCCTTAGTTGAAAATGAGCAAGCTGCTCAGCTATGCTTGTACATTCAGATTGGTGACTCACTCTTGATTKAAGTACCTGTTTCAAGAGCAATATATTCCTCTTAATGTATGCAAAATGAAGCCTAGATTGTTTTTTCTTTGTTATTTTTCAGTAAATACATTCATTACATTCTGCTACCACACTATGGCATTATTACTTATGACATTCCTTTATAAATTWGCATTTACCTCAAAAAGGAAGAATGCAGTTTTATTTCTTTATTTCATTTTTTCTTAGCATTAATTTATCTGGAAAATAAAGGCATGCATTGTAACACTGTTAAAATTATGTAACCACTGAATTTGATATCTAATTATTTGAAAACATAAATGAGATAAAGAGTGTATGAAAAAAGTATACAAACTCTGAGAGACAAGTGTGATAAACACTTTGTTAACAGTTGCAAACATGAGCTTGGAGAAAGCTGTTTGATTTCAGATAAGTCTAGTGATTTGTTCAGAGGTATTTCTTTYGAGGTACATGTCATAGGAATGTCAGCATGTGCAAGTTTTGACACTGCTGTAGATAACGTATTATGGATTTCATAAACTGCTGAAAGACTCTAGTGCATGTAKGTCTTTCTGCTCAAGTGAGGGTCTTCTTTGACCTGCATAGGTGSCTTTTAAAATAGGGATTATTTCAGGTAAGATTCAGTCTACCTGTACTATAAGTTTAAGTCTCTTCAAGGACTTCTGRCACACTGGCACAATACTGTACACCTCAAGAATATGGAAGTGATTGGAAGGCAAATGTGAAGTAGATGATACATCCCCTTCTACTAAAACCACTCTTATGATCCACTGAAAAATAGTGCTTTAATTTTCAATTATTTTCTTTTACAGGTCATACATATGGGATGGGTAAATGAGAGACTTGAAGGAACTGATTCATCTCAGCTGTACAAATTCAAGTTTCTGGCCCTGAAGGGTTCATCCTTCTACATTTTCAGCACTCCACCGGTAAAAAAATTAATATTTCTGTGGCAGTTTCATTGTAAATGGAAACCTGTTTGTTATCCTTTATCAAATGAAGTTGTCRGCTGAGATTTCCATGTAAATTTAAGCCTCAGATGCCACTGAATTTCAATGCACTATAGATATTTAGCCTCTTCCAAGGTCCTCTGAAAAGCTCACTGTACCTGGATGGTTTAAAGAAGTTCTCAAGGTCAGGTTTTATTTTGGTTGGTTAGGCCTACTATTTCTTACCTTATTTATTCTAAGGTATTTTATAGATTTAATGRGCTGGTAGTTACTCTGTTTTCTGAAAGATACGTCATGAAATAAACCATCCATAGTATTGGATTATACTTGGGGATTTTCACACAAACAAGGGAACAAAGTGTTGCAGACAATCCAATGCTAAGTTCGGTCTGAACAAATCTTGCTTTGATAATTTATATACCTSATAGCAAGAATTCTATTTCACAACAGGTAACTTATCTAATACTTTTCCAAAAATTGATTTAAAAGGATGAAATGGAAATGAGATGCAGAATTTTAAACTGTTAGACCTATTTTAAACTATTAAAATTTCCCATACTTATCACATGGTAATATTTAATCCTTTCTTTTTTTCTTCAGAAAASTTTTGCTTTAAACAAATCATAAAGAATAAAATGTGGAATTAGAATGCAATTTCAATTATACAACTTGCTTACAGATTGCTCAGAAGGTGCTCAGTTTCCCAGCTGGTCTGCTGATCCAAAGAAAATCTCATCCTTTATATGTGCAGTYTCTGCAGCACCTTTGGGAAGTACTTAATTTTCAAAGTTATTTATGAACCTCAATGAAATGCAATAAGTAAAAATTTTGCCTCTCTAGACAGAAATTATTAATCAAATTATTCCAATTCTCCAAACATTCTATAATAGCCAGTAGTATCCTTTTTTAAATGAGGTAACACACCTGGGAAAGGCAGAGTTTTTCACCCTCTAGAAAACAAGGGCTTAATATGTTAAGCAGAGGAACTAAAATTTGATTCAATTACTACAGTCTAATGAAAATGTAAAAACTATGCAGAAATATTAAACWAATAAATAACACACCACATGAATGATTTTCTTCTATAAATTTTACTTACTGTTTTCCAACMTGTTTCTAAGACACATGTTTGATATAATTAAAGCTATACATCTGTATGATACTAATTTGGTATAAATTACTTCATTTACCATGTTCAGCACTCTACTAGGAGCAGACAAGTGGGGACGACTGGTCTATTGGTTATTTGACAGAATCTATTGTACTCTTCCATTTTTTTTTGTAGGAACCTTGGTTTTCAAAAAATGAACAAAGAGGAACAACACAGGGGTATATCAATATTATGATACACCAGTAAATTTGACACAGTCTCTAAATAATAAAACCTGTTGACCAGCTTTCTTGCTTTTTAATCATTCTGCAATTGCAGGGGGAAAAAAACCCAAAAGCTAACACATCACGAACACACTGTGTTTGGGCTGATGCTGAGCAGGGCTGAGGCAGTCTTTCTGTTCTCACTGCTCAGCCAACAAACTGCCTGGGGCTGGGACAGGCTGCAGGCAACATGGCCAGAATAGCTAATTTCAATAGACCAAAAGGGATTTCATGCAGTGTGAAACATCATGCTCAGCAATAAAAAATGGGGATTTGGTCTTCAAAAGTAGCCATTGCTTGGAGACTGGCTGGGGATTGGTCTGCATGGGGAGAGCAGTGTGTGATCGCCTTTGTATTAATTGATTTCTTCCCCTTCCACCCCTTACTAAGCTGTCCTCTTCTTGCCCCATGCATTTTCTACTTTTGCTTTTCCTGTTGTCTCTCCCATCCCATGGCAGGGGGATGAGGAGCTGGTGAGGGGCTGTCTGGGTGTCTGGCTCTGTGACAGGCTCAGCCAGGAGTTGGGGCTTGGCTGGCAAGGAGCCTGCCCTGCCAGACCCTGGGGAGCTCCCTTGACACTGGCTCTRTGTCAGGTGTCCCAGCTCTGCACCTGGAAACACAGGTCTCCACACAAAACTGGGCATAGAGTTCTTCCACTGATTTCACAGATATTTGATGGTATTGCTCTTAATATTGCTCCTGCTGAGGTTTTGGGTTTTTTACTATCTTAACTGTGAGGAAATAAAAAAGGAGTGTTCAGTCACAAAAACACARATGTTTCAACTTGCTTGATCTTTAGAAGATGAATGTTTAAAATATTTTATTTCAGAGACGTTGCTATTGCTGTTTGTGTTCTGAATCAATGCAGCATATCAGTGTATGGATATAGCGTGCACAGAGCATATAACCTTTAAGTTCAACACTTACCTTTATCCATAACTTTACAACTGCCTGTGAAAGTATCTAGTACAATTTCCTCTCTTTTTCTATTTCATTGTGTGTGAAAGATGATGTGAATGTAAATACAGCTGCTAATTTTTGTAAGAGTGGCTCTGTAGACTTCTAGAACCAGATTCAGTGTTCAGATAAAATAAAAGAGTATGCTATGTTAATTTGATTTTAGTGAGTCTTGAAGAATGATTCTCTTTTACATTCACCCCATATTCCTTTATTTAGTGATTATCTCTGAGCAGGCATGAAAGTGTTTTATGCCTATTTTAAAGTTGCAGAATTCTCTTCTAGGAAATAACTTTGTGAGGTAATTGTTTGATGCACGTGTGTGTCAAAATGACTTAAACTTTGTTTTCTCTCTATTTTAAATCATAACTTTTTTAAGAAAATCCAATGATTAACACACATTTAAAGGTAAGTATATTTAGAATATGAGTTTGATGCTCAGATCACCAGGTCTAACTATATAAAGCTATATTTTACTGGTTTGTTTATTTTCCAAACTCTGCAGTAACACCTGTGGTTTAAAACCCACAAGGAAATTGCAGAAATACRTCCTGAAGTAAAAAGTACTTCTGTGACACTTGGGACTTTTGTATCTCTACATACCTTTTTCAGTCTCTCATCATAGACTTAAAATTGTAACTACAGGTTCCTGKTTTTTTGTGACTCTGTTTGTTTTAATTATCTTTTTGATCAGCTCAGTGTTACCTGTGAGCTTATATATGTCTTATTTTTGCAATCTTCCTGAAAGGATTAACATAGCTAAATGTCTACAGAACCAAGTATTTAATRTATACTGCATTGGGTCAGCTAAGGAGTTGGTCTGCAATAATAAAAATAACAACATTCAGCTCCTGTCTGTCATAAATTCATACATTAGACAAACACAAATTAAAGTAGAACCTTACTGAATGCTATTTGAAACTCTCATGTATTTTGACATGGTTTCTGACACTTTCAGAACTAAATTCATATGAATGCAAGTATGTCTTAATAAGTCATCTGTTCTGAATATACCTGTTTAAAACACTTTGTCAAATGCTTCATAAAAAAAATAATAAAACTGTCATACTAAAATAAYCCCAAGAAATTGCAATGTATAGAATACCTGCAGGAACAATTCCAAGGGGAAATAATGAGAAAAACTATTTTATTGCCTAAGAAATATACTTCAGTATCTTATTTATCTTAGTTACTTATTACGCAGTTATTAAATGTGTGATGATGGATAACTTGCAATAAACTGGAACTTTCTTYAAATCAGATGAAGAATATTGCAGTTTTTGTGAACTTTTCTGACTATTTCCAGCTTTTCTCCTTGACCAGGAGTGTATGACTATAATGTAGGATTTGTTTTGTTTTGTTTTTTTTTAAGTAAAGTAGTCTGTAATAATRATATTTTAAACTTAGACATACTACAACAATTCTGATAAAAATATCAATAATTTCAACTATTTCTTTAGATTCTAGTAGTGCTTTTTGATATGTTTCTTTGGCCTCAGCATGTCATTTGTYTTCTGAGCCCCTTGCACACAATGATATTCAGGCTGTTTTACTCTGTAAGTAGGGTAGCCTTTCTCTGACATGCACAGTAAAATAATATGCAGGTGGCTCATACAGGTGCCAGCAGTTGTCTCCATTAAACCTTTCTCTGCTGACAAAGTCATATGAAGTTACACAGCATTAAAGGATTACAGATAAGCTCAGGATAATGGGAATAAGTCTGAAGTATTCAGAGTGACATTAATGGCACAGCAGTATCACCATTGTCCATCATTAATGGTGCAAAGAAGCCCAACAGTTAAAATTAATCTTCAGGAAGCAATACAAATGATATGAGCAAATGAAAGTCCATATCCCAACAGCTTTCAGGTCATAGCCCGTGTCACTAAAGTCAGTTTCATAAACAGCAGATGAATCGATGCTTGTGTGTTTATGTCTAGCCACTTACAGCAACAAATTATTCTCCTTCTGTTAAATGAGATGGAAAAGAATCTTTCCCTTTKAGACATTCAAGACCAAACAATGAACTAGCCCCCATTCCATTGAAACCTTATTTAGCAAGAAGCATGAATATCCTTTGGAGGATCAACAGTAATGGGGCAAAACATGTATTATTTAATTATTTTGTTTTCAAAACAGCCATCAAAGTACAAAATATTTCTCTGGAAATAAGATTGAGGAAAGACCTGCAGTAATTCCTCTATCTGAGCATGTTTAAGTGTTTGTTTCTTTATGAATTAGCTGTAGAATTCCTCTGTTTCAGTTGTTTCARAACTTATGCTATTTCTTACTTGTACAATAATTAAAAAGCAAAACTCAATTAAAATATTGAATTGAGCTTATGAGAAGAAAAATAGAAATGGAAACCTAAAAAATAGAAATGTATGGCTTCAAAAATTGCTACTTTTTCTGAAGTGATGGGAGGAAGCGTTAATGTCTAAATTTCTTTAAATTTATTTTCTAGACCAGTTAACATTAGATTTAAATTTGAAAAAGTTTTTTTTAAGTAGTACTTTGTACTTTTATTATGTAATTTTAAAATTATCTGTATCATTTTGAGCTTTAATTTATGAGACATTTCTCATAATAAAACAAAGTGTGTAATGTGTTTATGTATTCTAGTGCATGTGTTTTATTCAAGTGATGTTTGCCATTTAATTGCTAAGATATAAAACTGTGAAATGGAGAATTCTAGAATGTGAGTCCCTCTGTATGCTGAAAAGGTGTGGTGCTAGAACTCCCTCTTCTMGAGTTCTTCAGTCCCATTTCAGTGAGGTGATTCATAATACCTAAGTTTAATTATCTCAAAAAAAATTAATCTAAACCTTAGAGAAACTGGGAGAAAGCTAGAATATTAAGAATCAAGTCAGATTGTTAAGATTAGAAAGACACTAACACCAAGTTCACATTACTCTTTCAAACGACTCTGCAGTAACAATTAATAACCAGTAGAAGTCTCATCAGGTGCCTGTAAGTGTTGCAGTGGTTTGGAATATCATCGTGTATTACAATTCTGTTTAACAGCTTAGAATTTTAAAATGCATGAAAATTAAACTTTAAGRTAAATTTTAAAAGAACCAAAACATCTTGATCTCCATGCACATCTTCAGGAGAAGTACTGTATTTTTAAAGGCAAACTATGTGCTGTTGTGAACACAGAGAAAAAGAATTTGTTATTGAATTTCATAAGTTTTTTTCTAGTTAAGTTTCATCCACAGAAGCCAGATGTTGAACAAAAAAGTTGTTTGTTTTTTTTTACCTGAATAGTTGTGGGKKTTTTTTTCTGCTTTCTTCCTTTTGGGTGAGAGGTGGGAATAGGACAAAGCTGTATCAGCCCTAGAATTTTAAAGTATCCAAGTTCTATTAGAGCTACCAAAAAACTTATTTCCATATGCCAAAAGCCTCCGAATTACTCAGTCAAATCCTTCATGTGTCTATGCAGCCTTTCCTGTGCATTCCCAAAAACTAGACTTTTGTCTAAAATACATAAGTGAAAATAATATGTATTCCCCTTGAACTTTTCCTATGCATGAGAAAATTTCCTTGAACTACATAGGCAAGGTACTGTTTCTAAAATGAAACAGATGATCACATTGTGTCATGAAGTAGAATTTTGGTAAAAACTTCAAACATCAAACTGGCTGTCAAATTTTAACAGCCTGTCATGTCAACAGATTAAGTAATGAAATCAAAAGAAAAGGAAAAAAAAGAAAAAGGTGTTTTCATATTATAAAGCACACATCCTTAATCTCAAATATTGCAGTCACAGAATTGTTTTCATCTTTTTGAGTTATTGACACCCTAGTGYATGTAAACTCAAAACTGAATTCAGGAATACATTTTGATCTGTTGATTGTATTTTTCAGAATTGAGACATGAAGCTGAATGATTCTGTTTGAGACTGAATTCTCTGTGTTAACATCTTGAGAAATAAATATGATTATGTAACTATACACAGKGATTGCAAAGAGTTTTCTATCATACTAGGAAAAAATAATGGAATTATTTCACGYCTTTTAATTCCTGCTTCTGTAAAAATTTAATGCTATTTGACAGTCTTTTCTAAATGCTGAGTATTAAATGTAGTGATGTGCCTGTATTTAAATTATCCAGTACAATAAAAATGGAGGAAAACTCTAGATTTTTCATCTGAACATGATTTTCTAATAAGGAATGTTGCTAATATTTTTTTTTAATATATTATAGGTAAGCACGCTGGACTGGGTACGAGCTGAAAAAATCTATAACCTCTGTGAGGTTCTATTTAAAATTCACAAGGTAGGTTTCCCAACAGTTCCAATKATATTATTTAGTAAAAATGTTTTCCTTTTCTGTTGATGATAAGCTCAAGTTAATCTTAACTAGGAGTAGATAACATTYAAATAGTTAATCTGTTTTCAATATTAGAGCTGGTTGTATGAATATCAGTGAGACACATTGCTAAGCATAATGATTTGTGTTTTTCTTAGTGAGTCAAATTTTCAAGCAAATGTGATGAAAAATGTTCTTGMTGTAAGTCTTGATTCATAGAAAGGTAATTCTATTTAATTTCAGTAATTACAAATATRAAATTATGTACTTTTTTATCATATGTATTGATTGTTGGATCAAGTATTATAGTTGATTTTGCTTTACAAAGGGCAACATGTTGGATTTGTGTCCCATAGCATTCATTTCGTTCTCCCAGCTACACACAGTTTTGTTTTCTGTCTTGCTTGTCCTGATCATAAATTTGGAGCACAATCTTAGCACTTTGTTCAAATAACTGACTTGCAGAATATATTTTCTAATAGATTAATTTTTTTTCTCCAACAGCTAATCAAAAACTGCTTTGCAGGTGAGATAAGGATACTAGATGAGAGCCTGTTTGTCTAGGAGAGCAATAGCAAACATTTTCAGAAAAAAAATAAATTCTGTCTTTTCAGATAAAATACTGTTTCACTGAAAAATTAAAGCTTATCTTTAGTTCTCACCTGTTTCTCCTTTGACAATGCACTGATGCTGTGGAAAAGGCAGGTTGTTTTCTCTCTTACCTGTAACAGATCCTGGACTGAGCCACAAGTGATCAAGGTTTTTGGTTGGCATTGGTGGGGAGGGTTTGTTTTGTTTTGGGGTTTGTGGGGTGTTTTGCATTGGTTTTTTGGTTTTTTTTTTTTAATTTGTTGGGGTTTTTTTCTGATGCACCAGTTAGTCAGGACAAGCARAGGAAGTGGTTTGGCTCTGCCATGCCAGGAAAGCAGCAGTCCTTGAGTTCAGGAGTGGAGCTCAGCTCCAGGATGCGAGGCACAGGAGCAGAGCCATATGACATTCTTTAATGTGATCATGTCTCCAGCTGGGAACATGAGCAAATTCAGGACTTGCCCATCACTGAGACACCAACAAAAAGCAGATGTTTTGTCACAGATGATGCAGTTGGCCTGCTTAATATTTTTTATGATTTTACTTTTGTTTCATAATTAAGTCAGGCACACATTTCGCCTTTTGAGAAGATTTTGCTATAGCTTGGCTTTTGTGGTTTTTTTTTTTTTTTTTTTTTAATTTTTATGCTGAACCTCACTACTTCCTTAAATATTATAGTGATTTCAAGGATATTCTGTCCTTAATACAACTTCTACAGTACTTTTCTATTAAGAAAAAGAAGTGAGGAAATAAACTACCTAAGATTCAACTCTGTAATGTTCTTGACATTTTAATAAATGAATGCTTAATTGCCAGTCTTCATGAATACATTAGCTAAAGAGCAAAAGCTCAAATTGAACTCTTTAACCTCTTTTCTGTTGATTCTTTGGTATAAAGAACAATGAGGCAAACTGAGAAAATCTGAAAAAGTTAGGGAGAAATTTATGAGATTAATGCTTCTGCATTATATATGACAGGGTTATGTTATAAAAGCTGACATTTGGGGAGGGTGTTCCTAAGGATTTTCAGAAGGTGGTTAGAACTAACGCAAAACTATGTTGTTGTACTTCTCCTGAAAGATGGATTTTAAGGAGAGGTGCTCTTGTAACATACCTAATGGTAAGCTTCTCATCTATGTTTATTATGACCCAAGAGTTAGACATGGAAAATCAGAATCCAGTATGGAACTTAAATTTTAAAACAGAATGTTTTATATATTTCAGATGTGTGTGTATGTGTACATATATATAAATAYRCACTTGMATAGAAAAGCRKGCACATACAAATATGTGAATTAAAATTTATATATATATAACACATACTTGCATATTTTTGGATATTTGGTGGTAACAACCAGATGATTTGAAATGTAATGTCTTTTATCATGACATTATGATGTTTTTAGTCCTATAGCTTGACTTATAATTCAAACTTTTACTGTTATCCTGAACATTTTTAAAAGTCATTTGTTGTAAAAACATTTTATTTTCTTTTATTTGCTGGTATTTTTGCATACAAATTTTAAAAATACTAATACAGTAGTCTACAAGTCAGGATATGCATCACTGAGTCTTGAAGCAGATGTAATAATACCTGTAACTCCGTGGCTGATGAACACCAGAATATATGCAGGAATTTTTCTCAACAGTGCAAAGGAGTGTTGTAAGGTAACTTCAAGCTTCACGTCTRTTCTGTACTCACATAGCTGCAGGGCCAATTTTGACAGCACAGTGCTACTCTGGTGGCAATATGTGCTACTCCCAAGATGCCACATGAATCGTTGCTTATTATTTTATTCTTTCAGTCTTTTGTGCCCCCTGATATCACAGAGAAATGGAGATAGAGAAGGGCTCTGTCTGATAAACAGAAATTTAAAAATATGTTTAACTTGGAAATTCGGGCTGTGAAAGTATTAAGTTGTGTAAGTAGTAGCTTTTTAGTTCACTTTTCCTCTATATTTATGTTAATCAATGAAGTCTTRCAATGTCAGGGAAGTTTCTTGCCTTAATTTGTTTACATTTACAAAACATTCTATTACAGGGATATATTTTATTATGAAARTTTAATGTGAAGTTACTTCTTTATCTTGAAGGTGATGGCAGGATCTTGCTTCAGTCTCCTTGTAGTTACAGAACAGCATTGACAGATATCASAGCACATGCTCATGTTTTCATTTCCAGAATTAGCTCTGAGGTGGYTGATAAATTACTCCATTCCTTGGAGTTTAGCATATTGGAACCCAATTAGAATGGAGCAATTATAGTSTCCTGTAGAGCTGGTRCAYGGCTCCTGGAATGCATTTAAACAAWTCAGGGATTTCCTTCTTTTTCACRGTAAACAATATAYTGGTAGAAATTGAAGTTATATATGTAACACTTTATTTTGACTATTTTGAAACTGSAGTAGTAGCTTRGAATASATTATAGASGGTRAAGSAAATAAGAAGCWGAGAGAAGTTGTCTTTGACATAATTATTTAACTCCTAGAAYAYTTCTTCARGGTAATTATTGACATAATKCCATAGTATATCAAAGCACCCATCACTTACAGAAGACAGTGTTGCTTCAACTCTTTTGCCAGATGAAGAMTCACATACTGAAACATGTCTTTCAGCTCTGGCTTGCTGATGATTGCTGGCTACAAGCAAACTTGTATTTAGGTATTCACCAGGACTTCGATCTTGAAGACCAGAGGCCCTATTGTTTCAGTGTTATGGTTGGACATGGCAAGAGTCATTATTTCAATGTAGAGCTGGGCAGTGAATTGGCAATGTGGGAGAAATCATTYCAAAGAGCGATTTTCTTGGAAGTTCAAAGAACAGGGGTAAGTGGTGAATAATTTAAATAGTTTAATCTGTAAAATAAGTATAACAAAATTAGATTGTTTGTATGTTTAATAATTGCGTAAGATTGATATCGTCTGTGACTTAGGATCTGAGTACATTAAATGCACTGAAGACTTCTTCAATTGCAGACTTTGGATTTAGAGACAACTGAAGGGTTTGTGACATTCAGATCCAGGCAGCCTACAAGMAGTTCAGTTCCTGTGTCTCCTTCCTGCAACGTTACACAAAATGTGTTTTCTAGTCATTCTTTAGTGGCATTATGAATTGATCTTGCAACAAGTCAAAGTAGATTTAATCAGAATAGATCTTAGAGGCTGTGTCCCCACTGGAACTTGGTCAGAGAATAGTTATCTTTCCATTTACCTTTCTATCACAGCTTACCTAACTCTTCAAACTGCCTGATTCCTGAAATGCTCAGAACTTTGGCTCTCTCATTAACTTTGCCATCAAAACACACTCATTCTTTCTAGGCCTCTCTGGGAATTAAATGGTGCCGTAAAAATAGCAGTCTAAATTGCTCTTGGAGGCTGAGRAAAAATCCACTTGAAAAGAAAAAAACCTCGCAGAAATTAGGCAATCTGAATAGGAAGTAATAGTCATTTGTAGGTTATGATTCTGTTAATTCTTCATGGTGAACTGAGAGATTGAGTAAAATGTGATTGGCTGATCACAGTRCAAGCATTGTGAGCTGCAGATAATATACTGAGATTGCAAAAATATTAAATACAGTTGACAATTCTATATTTTTTTTTATTCTGTGATGACTGCAAAGCATATATGAGATAGAGGTATACATAGAAGTCCCTTTAAGAATGGAAATGGCACCGAATGCTAATTTCAGAGCTCATTTCTGAGACAAACATTTAAGCAAAGGAAATATTCTCCTTACATTCAGGTGAGATATTAAATAGCATTTAGATTAGGTTAGATTTATAGCATCATTAAAAGATACTCACCAGTTTGTTACAAGAAGCACTCAGTTTAATTACACAATTAAGTTTTAGATTGTTTTCATTATGCACAGAAAGCTTATTATAATTCCAATTTAACTGGTCACCTTTGAAATGGTGTTAGATTCTAATTCATTTTCACATTGATGCAAAAAACACACCATTCTCCAACACAAAGAAAGGTTCTGAGAGCCATACAGATTAATTATAAATATATTTTCAATAATTATTAATAATTCAGCAATTCACATAACAGATGAAAAGCAAGCAATGCATCTATGGAAWTTTTTTTTAAAAGCAAGAGAATGTACCAATTTACAAGGCTATTTAACTAAAAGTTGTTTCTATATTCTGTATTCTAAACATGAATAATATAAAAACCCATTATTTCTAAAAATAGAAGATATTCTTAAAATTGCATTTCTTTATATTGTAAGAATAAATCTAAATAATTTCATATAATATCATATATGTTATATATATATATATATTTTTATATTTATAAATCAAAATATTTAGATAAAAATTATGTCATGGGAATCTAGTTTTGTTATTATTTTCCAGAGGAATTTATAGATTGGAATAAGGAAGAAACTCCAATAGAGCTGGTGAGGGACTTTTAAAAGAGCACGTAGGGATAGAATAAGTGGTAATGGCTTTAAATTGTTAGCATGTGGGTTTAGATGCCATGTTAGAAATAAAGGCTATACTTTATTTTATTTAAGRGGGAGTGATAAGGCTCTCTCTCTGCCCAGAGAAGCCCCATTCCTGAAGGTGTTCAAGGCCAGCTTGGACAGAGCTCTGAGCAGCCGGGTCCAGTGGAGCTGTCTGTGCCTATTGGGGCTGGGCTCGTTTTAGAGCCCTTCTAACCCAAACCATTCTGTGATTCTTTTAAATCTGTCAAGAATTTACTATCAAGTAATTTCAGATTTAGAGAGTAGTATTACTTTAGAATATTGATGCTGGATTTCCTATTTTTAAAGGTTGGTGTTCCCTGTTATTCTCCACCCATGATTTATAAGAATCAGTCAGGAAAACAAAATCTCAGTCAAAGCATCATTGATTCCGAACTGACTATTGTACGCAGGAATGTCTCTTGATGATATTTCTGATTAAATTCCCTCTTCAACTGTGAAATACCAGAATTATAAATCGCCAGAGAAAAAAAAAATGTTTCTTATTATGTAATAACAAACTATCAAAATGAAGTCATTGTTTTTGCTGAAGTAAGCTAGTAGAGTTCTACTGGTTCTACTAAAACAAGCAATGTCAGCTTGATTACTGTGAGTGCCACTGAGAATCTGCCTCAGGTATGTGAAAATGTACTTGGGATAATCTACAGCTAAGAAACAACATTCAAGTCACTGTTGACTCTTGCTTTTCTTTGTGGAAAAATTAGTTGCTGCAAAACCATGAAGCAATTGTTCAGACACAGAGATGAGGAAGCACAATCTCTTCCTGACATAAGACAAGGCTAAAAAACACAATTTGAATTTTCTCTGCTAAAAGATAACCATTTCTAAGCTGTTGCCTTTAGATTTTGTCCTCCTGCCTCCATTTTTCTCACTGCATTTTCCTACAACCTGTTTAAGCCAAAAACTGCCTGTTCAGCAGGGGGGGTAGCAAGTTTTTTTTTCTTCTGTCAGATTTACTTTAGCCATAGGTTCATATTCCATGGAGAATGCYATGGCCAAGAGTAGGCATCCACCACTACATTATCCTTGCCTTGCCAAGGAATAGCTGAGCCTACAAGTTCATGTCTTCCTATAGGAACACAATTCCCCGCAGAGTAAAATTCGCTTCGTCCCACATGTGCATGTAATCCTGGTATCTGAGTGGTGTTTTAATGCCTGATCTCAGTGGTGTCAACAGATTCTGAAAAGAGTCTGTCCAGCAAGAGCTCTACTAAGCAAAACATTTGTGCAGTTAGCTGCTACAATGTCAYGAGCATTACAAATTAAAAAATACAAATAGATCAAATAGTTATCTCAATAGATGACCTAAAGGCAAAAATTTCAAGCCTGACAGTATCCTGAGAAAGCCAGCATTTAAAACGTAAATGTATTAAATCTAGGTGTTATTTTGTAAAGCACTGAGCTAGTCCTACTTCTACTGAAATAAATAGCTTTCTTTGAAAATTGGTGAAAATATAATGGCTCATTATAATGACCCATCATTTGAGTCCTTTGAAAAATCTTTTAGTGCCAGAATGTCTCTTGCATACATATATACTGAATCACAAATGTGCATCAGTGTATAAAAAAAGCCAACTAAAATGTCTTCTTGAAATCAACAGATTACATAAGACAATGCACTTTTTATACTGATACCAGCAATGTAAAAAAAAGTGTAGTTTTGGGGCATTAAGCTGTAATTCCTTTGGCTGCAGCAACAGCAGATCTTGAAGGAATTTATGAGATTTTTAATCAGATCTGCTTTGTTTCAATTAGGTGTTTTTGTTTGTATCTATTAATAATTAGCAAAGTTCGTAAATTTTTAATTGTGACATGATKAATTCCTTAAAGTTATGGGCAAATGAGTGCATCTGCCATGGTTTTTAAGTGAAAACAGTATTCGTTTGACCGCTCTCACTGCAATTATTTCACTGATCCCTTTTTTACCAATGTCAAGAATAGGAAATCACCTGAGCTTTAGTAGTCTGTTCTAGATGAATTTTCTGAAAACTCTYATACTTTTGATGAATAACAGATTTCATTGTTTTCATTTTCTTACATATAATGTGAAYTCAGAGTGACTATGCTTTCAGTGTACTTTATGAACACGTTCTGAAAGTTTTGCTTTTAAAAAAAAGATTATATATAAAATATTTTACGCTTAAATAACAATACTTTTTTAATATAAAAATGCCAAATATATGCATTTTTAATTCAACATTTTTGCCGTTTCAATGAGTTTTAAAAGCACTTCTGTTTAGCACAAATAATTCTATGTGAAAAGACTCTTGAAGGTTTTGCAGGCTGCRTTCAGAATTAAGGGGTTTAATTTTGCCTCCTAGTTCTCTCTCTATATGTGGGCTGATATATATTTCTCAGTATAACCATAATAACTCTGATTCCTCTTATCTTCATTTTCACATCCTACTTGAATTTTTTAATGYTAGAAGTAGAATTTTCAGAGAGATTTTTTTTTAACATATATGATCCCATATTAAGGCTTTTACTAAACTCTATATTTTCGTAAATACATTGGATGCATTAAGACACTTTACCCTGTCACTCCTATATGATTTGATAACTTGTAAAAAAATGCTGTGTAAAACCTTAATGCAAGAATCTGAGGTACAAAAAATAAAAATCTGTATTTTTTTCCCCTCCTTGTCACTGTATCTTATATGCTGGTGTACACCGTTTTGTTTCTAATGCAGAATAAAAAAACCCACACCATTTMGGTCCTTCTCTCTTTCAGATATTTGAGTTCTTCTGACAAGCCTTACAGAATTCCTCCCAGTTTTTCCTGACACTTGACAGAAAAAACCTGAAAAAAATATCAGATGTTACATGGGGAGGGATTTGTTCTCAGAAATAAAAAGAAACAAGTAGAAATTGTATTTGGAAGATGTTAACATTTTTTTCAGTTTCAAATTGTCAATGCTGGATTCTTCTACTCCAAAAATATATTCTCTGAATTAATAACATAATTAAATGTTAATGTAAATATGTTTTTTTTAAAGAAAAGTCAAATTCAATAAGATTTTAGCATTTTTTGTTGATAGCATGTATTTCCATACAGAGGCATAGCACATATTTTAACTTAAAATGAGTAAGTGAATACAGTATGCAATATGTGTACTGTATGGATATGGATATGGCTCTTGCCTTAATGCTTTGCTGTCTGGTTATAATTTATTTTTAGAAAGTTTGTGCCAAATTTTCATGAGTATCATGAGTATAGTGAGAAATGTCTGTATTCCCACTTACRTGTAAAAAACCTTTACAGCCCATCTTAGAGCAAATGTATGTCTATATCCATAAAGTAGTTAACAGCATAGCAGGGAAAATGTGTACTTCAAGCAGGAAAGTGTAATGGTACAGCCAACTTTCCAACTGCTCTTTGGAAAATAAACATGCAAAATCATTTGCGTGCCCAATTTGTATTAACTAAGACTAGAAGGTAGGTATCATTTCTGTATTTTGGCTGATTAAAACCACTAAAATTCCTGCTCAAAAGAACATAGCTGAGTCCAAAATTAATGACTATATTGCAAATCAGTGCTATAGTTAAAGCAAAATGAGGTTTTTCTTCATGCAAGACAGTAATTAACTGCCGTGTAGCCAATCATCAGCTGAATTTTTGAAACCGTAAAACCGTAAACCTGATGAGACATTATGAACAACAGCATGAGAGTTGTAAAAGTAATATCCTTTAAAACAAATATACACTATGGCATTTTCTGTGCTGCACTTAGATTAGCAGCATCACTGAGTCTCACTTGATCCTTAAAAAACTTACTTTCCATGAAAACTTGGGAAAACTTACTCCTTAGGAAAATGAGTACCGACTGAAAATGTTGATGCCCTGATTCTTAAAAAAATATGTTAAACTGTATTTTTGTCTAAGAATCTTTGATGATCTCAGAATGTGTTATCTCAACAGGCAGTTATTGTTATTATTCATGATTTTAAAGAATTTTACTGGAAACAWAAGTAAGTTGAACCCCTGTTTCTTGGACAGAATACAATCCCACATCAAAGTAGCATTAAGTACTCTATGTCTTCAAAAGAGAATCCAGAGTTACTGCATTGGATGCCTGTGGCAGAAATTGTGCAAATTTAAGCCCTCCAGCTAAAGCCTTGCAACAAACTCATATTCAAATAAACACAAAAGTCTGTTGCAAAAGTCTGTTGCATGCAATGGTTTATTCAGAAGCATTTGGACCTCCCAGTCCCAGAAGGAACCAAACTCAYTTGCAGCTGTATCCTACATGGGAGACCCAGGTGTGTGTGGAGAAATCAGAAGGCCTCTCTCTGTTCTGGGGCACCTGCTCACTGCCTTCTGCCAYCACACTACAGCTTAATGTGGACAAGGGCTCCTACACACAGAAGGAAAGTGAAGAACAGTAGGGTTCCTCTGTATCCTCGCCYTTCCTTCCCAAGACATCTGTGTCTGGTGCTTGCTATCCACCCAGTCCTTGTGCTTCAGCCTCCTCACAGGCTGGAAACTACACATGAAATGATCCTTCTTCCTGTTTGTCCCTCAGGCTATGTCCYTCACAGATATCTGAGGTATATTTGTGCTCTCCTCTCTGAGTGGAAATAAGAAAGTCCCTATTGTTGTCTTTTCCTGTGCATTCTTTTCCAATTTTAGTGTCTTGGATACCTAACACCCATAAAGCAAGTTCAAAGCCCTTCTTGTGTTAGCTGATCAGTTTACAAAGACATTCCCTCCCCTGAGGGAAAGAGTCATGGTAACTCATAATCATAAAAGCTGGTTTTGAAATTAATTGGCCTGTCATTGATCATATTTGTAACATCTCTTAGTGTTATACAGAATCCTACATCAGTCTTTGTTTTAGAGTGCTGAAGCAAACTGTCCCTTGTCTTTGCTCTTTTGTAAAAACTGATGAAAAAGGCCTCTGAGATTATCAAGTCTAACCGGACTGATCACCACCTTGTTAAYTACACCATGGCACTAATGGTTTCTTGACCACCAAACATAGTTCAAAGCTGTATTATTTCTGGGAAATCTCTGTCTCTGGGAAAGAGGGTGAGTGTATATGTGTAGGCATTGTAACTATTAAGCGCTCTCAGGTCTTGGAGGACAGATGACAGTGCCAGAGATAGGAAAGTGCCATTCTTCTGATCAGCRACAGGAGGTCTGTCTGAGGAATTTTTTCATAAATTACTCAGAAATACTCTTATTATGCTATTTGAACAATGATATTATCAACGTAAGGGTCTTTCCATGAGTTAAAAGATATGCAGCGAGGTACTGATACCTGAACAATTACACAGGTAAAAGTTTTGTGATTGTCTTTTATTACAAATATGAAATTCTTTGGATGATTACATTGATCAGAAAACATAAGATAATTGATCTAGGTATTATTTTACATTGTTCTTAGCTGCTGCAATATTAGGCCTATCCTTCTCTCTGTTGTTTAAACTGTGACTTCTTTTTTTTTTTTCAAAATTCACTTAAAGACAGCTGAACCTRAACCTCTAATATTAAATTTCCATGTAAATAATTGTTGCAGATAGTGAAGGGTGATCACAAGTGCAAGTGTATGGGAAGCTTATTCCATGGGAAAGGAATAGGACTCGGTCCTAGTGTTAATGAGATGGAAGTCCTTACCACAGAGCTTTCTGTGAACCTGTTCAAAGTCACTGAATAGATGCCATAAGTAGGCTTTTAAATTTATATGGCAAAATGCAAATTAATTCTGTGGTAAAGAAAACAGTGAGTATGTAAGTATAAAACATTTATTTGTAATGTTTATAGCAGTGAAAATGCAGCATATTCTGTTTATCTCTAGTATTTRTGAATATTTTCCAAACTGGTGCCATTATTTCCTAAAACTGAATATTTTTAAAGTATTCCAAGCTAATTATTTGTGCATAGTTCATATTAGTATTCACCATTTGTGGAWGAGCAATTAGATGCTTACCCATCAGGGGAATCTAATTTTATACATTTTAAAAATTGCTTTGCTGAGTCAGAGCTCAGCTAGTATAACCTTTTTAATTGGAAAATAATGGAGAATAAGTTATGACTGRTTCTTAATGCCACCTTATAATTACTGAATAAAATGTAAGGATATGTAAATGTCATTCTAATTGAAAATCAATCACTGAAATCTATTTAAATGCCAAATAATATCATCTTTGAACACCAATGAGCAAATTATTTTATTCAGAGGTGTATAATATCTCTATTATTGTGGAGATGATTATTATACTAATCTGCACTTATGAATTGGTATCACTCCTAGACCTTTCAAAACCTTTAAAAAATATCATCTCTGTAACTCAGAAATGCTTATTTTAGTGTAACTATTGTTGTTAGTACTGGAGTAAGGAAACCTTTACAATCATGTTAAAGTTTTAGATTATACTAAAAATATTTTTAAAACCATTTAAATGGCAGTTTCCAKCTTAAGGAAGTTTATTAGTGCTTTCAGTCTCCTCTAGGGCATTCTTGTGTTAAAAGCTTTTAATTGAAAGAAACTATCCAGATGCAAAACTTTTGTGTAAACAAATGTCTAAGCATGAGGCAACACTGAAATTTATGATGGATCAATGAGAGTGAAGTAATGCTTCCTTGGAAGAAAGAAAAAAATCAAAATTTCATGAGGCAAAAGAGTATAAATATACTTGTAAATGTCTGGTAAGGTGAGGCAAGGAAAGCCTGGAGACAAGATCTGACTTCTACTTGTGCTGAAGGCAATGGGCTTTTTGCTATTAACTGTCATTAGTATTAATTGATGGTGAATGTCATTGGGCTATTTCATATTACCACAAATCTTGTTCATATCTTTTCAGAATCTGTCACATACCTAAATTAGTGAGCCTTAAAAATGCTTGGAAAGAGTTAATTGACTTTTTATTGTAAAGCTTATTCAGAAGTTTAAACAGAACTTCTGGGTTTTGCTAACAGAAGAGATTTTTTTTTTCTTTCTAATCTGAAAGGTTGTCATGGAATTGGTGTACATATAGCCCTGGCTAGCAAGGATCAGTGCTAACTAAAACATGAGAGCTATTASGTCTTACAATTAAATTACATTTACTAACATTAACATAGTGTCRTGCTGGCATGTCACCAGACCCAAATTATAAAATGCTGTAAGATAGAAAGACTTTTTACAAAGTTTAAATCAGGTGGTCAAGCAGACAGAACACTTTTTCATTATTAGATTGCAATGACTGGACATTTAGGCACTGTTGCCTGCACATTTACTGGAAGTGGTATCAGGAGTCATTAATAGCCCAGTCTTCCAAAAATTTGGAGTAGCCAGATTTGGTTTTGTTCTGTGTGGYGTTTTACAAGGGTTGGTTTTCAATAATATGTTTCTTTTTGTAGAAGAGTGACTTGAAATATAAAAGACATCCAGTTAATGTGTAGCTGACAGACGTGACACTGATTTACAGCCACAGGTTTTTGACAATTTTCAAACATAGTAATATAAAGCAGTACCGGTGTTTTCAGTTGAGTGTCTTCCCACCCAAAAACACCTGCATAAAATATTATTTTAATGTGATAAATTATGGTGGTGATTGTCCTTTTAAAAATCATACCTTTTTTTTTCAGTCTAAAACATATATGTGCAGTTGGCAAGGGGATACCCTGTGTTTCACAATCGACTTTGCTCTAGGATTTACCTGTTTTGACAGTAAAACAAAGGTAAGAGTCAAAGAAAAGGAAAACACAACTCTGTATTGTTTTACAGTTATTGAAGTTATCATTTCTTACATTTTCTTCGTGTCCAGTATTTATTCCTAAAATGTACTGTACTATTTTTTTTTTATTTAGCCCTACTGAAATGTTGTCAGTTTGAGACTTGAAAGGGGCAATTATAATTGTATTGTATATAAAGCTCTATTTTGGAGAAAGGTACGAAAAAAGTAACTTCATTTTCAAGTAATAAAAGCAAAGGAAGGTTATATTTAGCAGAGAACTTAGTTTGTTATAATGAAGATACTTCAARATTTGTAAAAGATTACAAGTAATGAAAAAAATGAAATGTCACCTGATTCTATTTGTTTTGAGGTTACAGATATAAAATAGAATTAATTATTTTTCCATCATAAGGGATTTAGGTCATGTCTAAAATAAACAGAATAAGGGCAAATGTTTTTTTCAGAGTCAGAATCTAAAAGATTGTATTCACTTCTCTTGCAAAACAGAAAATATAGGAAGTGCCTAAAGGGAATGGYTAATGATTTATGTCAACTTCCAAGCCCTGTCTATAATGCTATTATTTTCTATATAAGTGAGTTTTACTTTAATGTAAATTATTCTAAGTGGATTTTTAAATTTGTTTGACAGAAGAAGTAAACATATATACAAAATATGCTTCTGCATTAATAGAAMTGTGCAGCAGAAGGTCTATCTTCTCAATTTTAAAAATTCAATGAATCATTCAGAGTAAGGAGGGAACACCCTACATTTTGAAATACTGATGCAGGATCTGGTTTTTGTGTGTTGGCATTTTGTGGGTTTGGAGCCAAAATACACAAATCTATTGAAATCTTTGTGCAGAGAAATAATGAATAAAGATTTCATAAAAATTTAGACTGGTTGAATTAAGTGTGCTCTTCCACAGTATAAATGCAGTATAAAATTTCAGGAAATATTTTTGTATATTCTTCTCTGCCTCAGGTGATACAGCATTCTGGAGTCCTGCTTCTTGCACAATTGCATGTACTTATTTTGCATGTACCCACAAACTAACTGTAGGAAGTAATCTCTCTAGCCTATAGAAAGAGTTCCTTTTAAATGTGAAAACTGATTTCATGTACTCCCGCCTTTAAAATTATAAACTTACTCCATTAATAAGATTTYGTGTCATAGTGCCTACCTTCAGTATTGGTAAGGAAGAGGATTTAGATGAATCTTTGTTCCTTACCTAAAGAGAAGCACAGAATACCACCAGATAGACTGATTCCATTGCTAAATGGGAAAAATTCTGGGGAGCTTAAGTAAACTTATTTTTCATCTGTGTGAGAGATGGAGATCTTGTCTGCATCCTCAAGCCTGAGTGAGGCAGTAATGGATGACTTCTGCAGTTCTTCTTACTTCCCATAATTGTCCTCTGGAGTTTACTGTGTTTTCCCATATGCATAGCTATTTCAGAATATTTCCTACCAACACAAAAAAAGATTCTTAAAGTGGCCAAGCAATTAACAGTTCGTTAGGGACATAGCAATTTTACTGAAAAACCTATTTTTTCTTCGTGCTAATGAAAACCTTAAGGTCTTCTATTGGTGCAAAGAATGCTTTTACACCACAGCAGGTGTTCAAGGAGGATTATTAAAATAAAGGCCAGTCTCCTGTCTGCTCTTTGACTCTAAATCCAGATCTCAAATTTTGGGCAACCAGCTCATGTATTCATTGAAAAACATCCTTTTTTACACTTTGAAAAACAATTTTAAAAGGGCCTTCTTATTACAAATTCTGAAATAAAAAGCTTTGGAGTGTGGTGGGTTGACCTCTTYTTCCTCCTGAGCTGGGCAAATGAGAGGAAATAAAATGAAAGGCTCATGGGTCAACACAAAGGCAGAGAAAAATCAMTCACCAGTGACCATCATGAGCAAAACAGACTTCACTTGGGCAAATTAGTGTAATTTATTGCCAATCAAATCAGAATATGCTAATGAGAAATAAAAAACAAATCTTAAAACACCTTCCCCCCACTCCTCCCTCCTTCCCAATTTTATCTTCTCTGCTCCAGCAGCACCGGCACATTGGGAATGGTGGCTGTGGTCAGTTCATCACACACTGCCACTCCTTCCTCCTCAGGGGGTGAATTCCTCACACTCTTCTCCTGCTCTACTGTGGAGTCCCTCCCACAGGAGACAGTCCTCCAGAATCCAGCATGAGTCCCTCCAYTGGGCTGCAGCTCTYCATGAACTGCTCCAGTCTGTGTCCTTCCCACCAGGTGCAGTTCTTCAGGAATAGCACCTCCTCCCCCTTCCTCACTGACCATGGTGCCTGCTGGGTTGTTTCTCTCCCATATTCTTACTCCTCTCTCCAGCACAAAAAATATATCTTTCAGAGAACTTTTCTAGAACAGTTTATTTTTCTGCATATTCTGTTCCAGGCTCATGATTGGTTTAACTCATTCAGCATTTATCATTTTGGCCCCATCACTGAGATGTTTCTGCAGCCCGCATCTGCTTTATATCTCATTGTAGAGATTCTTTTTATCTTGTTGGCTTGGTTGGTTCATCTTCCCCATCCTGTGCCTCCAGCCTCTCATCCAGCATAAAGAATCCCAAAGTGTGCATTTTCTTCCACCTTCCAGCACTATCTACTTCTCTTCTTTCCCACTCGGGTGCCAGCTGTTGAGAGAGACGATGACTCCAGCAATGCCAATGATTACTAAACTGTTCCTAAGCTCTTGTTTTGTCTCTACCTTAGCAGTTATATTACATAGCAAACATTCATCTATCCTGTTTAGAGCCAAACTCATTTAAGCCTTGAACACTTTTCAGGTGGTCTAATTAGGCCCTCTGGACCCAGTTAAAATCTGTTCATGAATGTCAGTTTTAAGCACCATCACAGTTCTGTAGCATAGTTCAGTTTTTTTTCATCTGTTATATCTCTCTAAGAAGTCGGTGACATTTATGTGTGCAGGGAACCAGGAGATAGTTTTTTATTTATAGGGCATTCTATTTTAAACTATGAGTAGGGTTCTGAAGACCATTGGTAGAACTGGTCTACTTAGAAAAAATATTTTGAGAAGAGGAATATTGGAAAATGAAACACAGCAAAGTTTTWTTTTCTGTGTATGCTTTTAAAATAACCTTCCAAGTATTTAAATTGTGTTTCCTTAGCTGTGTCCAGGGACTGAACCACRTTTCAGAATATGCAGAGAATTTTTATTTAGATTATAGTCACTAAAGGAAGTATTAGCAGGAAGTCAGYGGGTACAAGTTGTTGCCTTGTGTTCTTTTCATTACACGTTTTCAGGTGATCAATAGAAAACATTCAGATAAATACAGACAATTATCTTGATTTCAAAAAATAATTTCCCAATTTTTGTTTTTACAAAGTATCTCCATAAATATTAAAGCATATCTGTCAATTTAGAATTTGCCAGCACCAGGGAGATGKCATGCATAAGCCTGTGGGAGACCAAGAAGCCTAGAATTCTTATACATTTTACAAAGTATTATGCAATGGAAAACACATTTTTTGTGGTCTCTGAGACTACATTCAATAATAACATTTTTGCATTTCTATAGCTTATTTGAGAATTTCAAACCACATTTTACATATCAGTAAGTTCAGCTTTGTGTAACTCACAATTTTCTGTTATGCAAATGAGCCAGCTGAAATATGTAAGATCAAGATATGCCATGGAATTATGTTCATACTGAAACTGATACAAATAYCCTCATGGATCTTATGGAATTAAGCTTTTGCCATCTTTATATTATGTAGGCAACTGAAACACTTATATTTCAGAGATTTTTTAGTCTAATTAGTGAATATTAATATTGCATCTTTTGCTTTCAAAAAGGGTACAGAAATGTTAATTTTGATTCCTCTTCTAAGACCCTGTTATCATGCATTACATTACTGCCCTAGTGCTTTATTTTAGTACACAAACATTGATCACCATTCTATAGTTCTAGGTAAAAACACATAACAGAGTTCTTAATCAAATTTCTTTTTCTTTAGAATGTGCTGTGGAGGTTTAAATTCTCTCAGCTCAAAGGCTCTTCGGATGATGGGAAAACAAGAGTAAAGCTGCTTTTTCAAAATCTAGACACCAAACAAATTGAGACAAAGGTAAGCAACATCCTCTTTTTCAATTTAGTTAAACATTAAATTAAATTACTGTCAAGGCATCAGAAATCCCATTTACTATTGGACATACATATGGTGAACCTGTCACAGTGTATCATTTTTTTGCAGATTCTTTAGAAACTCCACAATAAACAACCATGTAATAGCTACAGATTTATTGCACTATTTCAACAARCCAGTTCCTACTAAGTTCCATCATGATGGTATTTTACCCTTTCAGAAAAATAATTTCTATGAAGTTATTCTGTCAACCTGTAGTAGATATGTCTAAAAATTGCATTTAAAAAGATACAGTAAAAATAAAATTATATAAATGCTAAATACGTTTTTACGCTGCTATATAAGTGGACTTAAAATTTTAAACACATGTATGTTTATAGTTCACTAACAAAAGTAAAACCTGTATAACATTTATTAGCTTTAAAAAGGGAATATTCTTGCAAAAGGCCAAGCAAGTAGTGAAACTTACTGTTTCTGCTGTGAATTAAGAGCACTTGATGCTTTGCAAGGTCTGGAATTGTGGAGCCATCCAGTCACTTCTACAGATGAGATATTAGTGGTGACTCATTTTTCTGTTTTTTCTCTAGCAATTATTGAATAAAAGTTTGAACCTTAAGAGTTCAGATTCCCAGCTGAACTTCAGCAATTTCTCATTCAGGGTTGTAATCTGCTGGAGGTCTGTCTGTAGCGCTGTAGTCTGCGCTKATTCTGTCCTTGGATCCCAAACTTGCTGTGAATAAAAAAATAATAGACAATTTTTCATTTATGTGATTTTTAAAAGAGTGAGGTGTSATATGACACAGAAGAGGAAGAAAAGAGTGTGGTTCAACTGGTGGACAAAAGCYAGTGAAAATAATGAAAAGTAACTCAAGACCTATGAAAGTTTTCAAATACTGTTAGCTGGAATTGAACAGGTTAAAATCACTTATAAATTGACAATTTTCTATAGTGACCATACACAAAAGATATATATTACCTATGCTTCTAATGTCTAAAAAAAGTTGTAAGGAGGAAATCCATAACCTTTGTTATTTATCGTAAAGGTACAGCAAATGCAATATATCCTTCTTTATACATTAATATACTATTCAGGATTATTATTATCAGTATTAGTAAATTATTCAGGATTTCATCATCAAGCTTATTTTGAGTTGGCTCTTGGCTCTACTGTAAAAGATGTTRTAATATCTGTTATAAAAGGTACAATGCTATAGTAATTTTTGTAGTAGTAGGCCATTTCCACTTCATTTCTCACAGTAGTCCTTGAAGACAGAAAAGGACTACTGTCCTCATTTTATATATGATCATCTGTTGCAGAGAGCTTACATAACTTGTTTCAGGTCAGACAGGAAGACTGTACTTGTGCAAAAACTGCATTGTGTATCTCTATGCATTAAAACATTAGATAATCCCTGTGTGTGATTAGCTAAGGGCTGCAATTTCATTGCTTGTAATGGAATTCTATTACTTTAATACTATATCATTCCTCTTTCTGTTGTGGTAATCAATCTGATTTTTTAATGTTATTTTAATGTTATTTTATTGTTAATTTTGTGCAAAGTAAATTGTTTTTAATTGATTTTACCTGGATTTTACTCTTTAGATAGGAAAATTGTAAATTTTAGCATTTTTATGAACATTTGATTATCTGTAAAATTATTATAAAAGTCAGTATTTATGATGATTTGGCAGCAAATTTTGTTAAGGAGACAGATTTGCTAAAATACTAAAAATTATTATTTCACATAGCTCTAATGAAAACATCCTGTGATTGGCAAAATTTACATGAATATTTGTGAGGTTTCCTTCAAAGTATCAAATGCAAGTTGATATGTGATTGGTTCATACCGAATTCCTAATATCAATGTACCTAAATGTACATGTGTTGTAAATATTAGAAGATGCCCAAAAATCTCATTAAAGGYCAGAAGAAAGGCTGATACTAACTAGCTGAGGATTTATCTGCATTTCAGTGCTTACACCTTTTACAGCCACCTCTGCAAAGTGCAAAGTACCCACTTCACGTTAAATGGGACTGGGATACAGTTGTGCAGCCTCTCCAAATAACTGGTGTATAATATCAAGTGAATCCTCACCACCTAAATGGTGTGATATCTCAGACTTTAGAGAAACTTGCAGGGTTACAGGCCAGCTGGAAACTGCCCAACACTGATACCCACAGTAAAGTCCAGTATCTGCCTCTGCTTACTACACTGAAAGGGATTTCATAGGGCCAGATGGTGCTATACAGTGAAATGCAGCCAATATTGAGAAATGAAAATGTTATCAAATAATAAAAGTTTAATTTTTCCTGAGTAAATGAGCCACTAAGCCTGAAAGAAAGCTTGGTGCAGATGACTTATGTTCCCTTGGCAAAAAACAGAGTTAAGGTTGAAAAAGAATTTTCCAGACTATGTCTAATTTTGTTGTAATGAATTCTTGGGAGAAACAAATACACATTTGGGAATTCTGGTTTTGGGTCTGGTTTACTATCTAGATGTGATGTTTGTTCTCCTATTTTGGCTTCTAAATTTTAAGCCAAGTACTTCTTCCTTTGGGTTTAGATGAACAGTGCTTCTCCATTTAAAAAGTTTTCCATTGAAAAGAGATGATAGTGCCAAGATTCCCGTCAGTTGTTTCTCCTTCAGATCCTTCATATTCCCTATATAGTTTCCCACTTCAGTACTTCTCTTAACTTACCCTACCATTAGTATTGAGAATTTTACTTGTAATCTTAATAATAGTAGATGTTCTTTACCCAAATTGTCAAGGTTGATCTAAAAAAAAAGAAAAAATAATAAGATTAGTACTTTCAGGTTTGTATTGATGCTTTATCTCCCTTAACTAAACTGTAGCTTTGTGGAAGATAAGAATTTTTTTCCCAGCATATTTTAACAGAGTATTTCCATTTTCTTTTCATCTTACTTAGTCTCAAATATTTCTTGAAGAAAGATAAGAAACCATTGTGGTCAATACAGTATTGTCAGCCATATTGAAGCTTCAACTAGATGTTTCTGGTCTCATAAACTTCTTGTGTGTTATAAGAAGATAATTTAAGAGCTCTGCATATTCTTCTCATCCACTATATGGCAACCAAGCCCTGGTATACCTGCTGAGGTATAGAACCAAATTTAGAACTTTGATTTCCATTTTGACCTTAATGCTGTCTGGAGCTAAAACCTGGGTAATTTATTCGGGTTTTTACCAAAAATGAAAAAGCCTAAAACTAAAATCCCAACCAACACGCCCCCCCCCCCCCCAAAAAAAAAAAAACCCAAAAAAAAACCAAAACAAAAAAAAAACCACAATCTGATTGGGAAGCATATCTTGAACAATACAGTGGTAATAGTAGTGTTCTTGTCAACAAATAATAAACACTGGGGTTTGCCAATAGTCATGAAATGCACAGGGCACAATAACACTATCTGTCAGCATCTCCATTATTTGTCTTTTATGTGATACAGGCTCATGTCTTGTTGAAATAGTGATTCAACCGCTCTCAGAAGTAATCAATAAAATTGTGTGCATGGTAATAATGCAACAGGCCTGTCGAGCTCTTTATGATATCTAATAAATCCAACTCTCCTAGGTGGCTGGATGAAACAAGAACATACATTTTTCTGCCTTGGCCGTGCACATACAGTGGTGGAGGTCAGCACAGTGTGCTCATTTTTTATATTTTCAGTACCAGCAGGAAGTTTTGCAGTCTTGTCCTCCCACTGCTTTAATCCAATCTTTTGTGTTCTCCTCTCAGTGTCTTCCTTCTAGTGCCTTTGTTGTACTTAATTTACTTATTACGGTACATACAGTAAACTGAAATAGTTTTGGTTATTGAAATATTAGACATGCACAGATTCTTCTAAAAAACTGACAATCTCAAATAAAGAAAAAAGCAGCAATCACAGATAAGGAAAGCTAATATAAGGGTGCTATAGATGGTGTGGCGTAAATAAAACGTTCAGTTAGTCATCTGCCTGGCTGAGCACAGAGACAAATCTTACTTAAAAAAAAAAAATAAACTATCAGAGCAGTGTATTTGTTTGAAACAAGTGTCATTGGTGTTATTTTCTAGGAAGAATTCACATTACACTCCAAAGCTGAAGAGGCTAGATTTCCACCTATAAAACTGTACTCAAGATATCAAAGATCTTGCTAAGAGACATTGAGTCCCAGTCTTCAGACTATGCAACATCTGCATTATCCTGAGTCAGAAAGCCATCCCTGTCTTTTACTAAATCCATATTTTCACTCTAACCCCAATTCCCCTTTCCCTGTTGTAATCTATATGCAAGGAACCTGCATAAATCCCTGCCCCAGCTTCTCTTTAGACATGTGTGACTATTCCTCATCATCTATGCCTGACTGGTGGCTTCAGGATTGCAAAGGCAGCCAGCGCAGGCATCAAACATCCTTCAAACACGAAGCACCACAGCCTTACCCCATTAATGGTCTTCTGGATCAATTCTGCTGTGATAAGGTTCATTTCTGGAAGCTTCTGGTGGACGAGGACTCAGGTGAGCYCCACTCCTCTGATACCACCATAGCTGATGACATCTAACTGAGCCCTACAAGTCAACCTCTCCAGAGCTCTGCTCCTGTTTTATGATCTCAGATGATTGCTTGGCCCCACCCAAACCTCTCATAAGACCATGAAAATGTGAGAGGCAGAGTGGACCAGCTGGTAAACTGCATGAGGAGTGCTTATAAGCCCCACATTTTGCTTTTCAGTTCTGTGACAACTTTCAAAATTAGCATCACTCTTGAAAAATAATCCCAAAATGAGGTACTTGCAGTATTAACTGCAGGAAGTAATGTTGCCATCACATAAAACACAGGTTGAGTGACACTGCTAATCTACCAGCCCTAAGTAGCTAATATCTTATAGAAACAAGAGCATATTAGTATTCATAAGGTTATTCACAACAGATTAGACAATTTCTCTCATATACAGAGGAGGAGCTACTGCATTTTAATCCATGCTCTGCACTGTAATGGAAGCACAGAGGGCTCTGCAGTAGGGACATTGGGAAGGACTGACTCACAGTGATGAGATGTTCCTGCCTTTGCCCTTTTCTAACCTCGAAGCTCTCCAAAAAATGTTGTTAGATGCCACAGGAAAGACGACGCGAACTCCGAGGGAAGCAGGTCCAGGTTCTTCTTTATTAACTCCCTTTACCAGCAAACTAGCATGAGTTATATACACTTTTCTTATCTCCCGCACATGCAGTTACACCAATCACACCCGCCTCAGCCAATCACATGGCCAGGCAGCTTCCAATGTCCAYGCACCATGATCCCTGTTCTAACTRGTTATTTRKTTTCATTTGACCAGTGCTGTTCACCTCCGTGCCTGCACTGCGTCAGTTAGTCCGGCCGATACTGCGTTCAAGTCCATCCCCCACATACAGCTGTAAAACAGCGAGGGCCACYGCAGTTAGAGGAGTCTGAAATCCTGTCTGCAATCTGTGTTAGGTTTGCTTATCTCCATAAACATTTASAGATTGGAAGTGCATTAAGCTGGAGTAGAGAAATGGAAACTCCCTGAAAGGCTCTCTTCTCTCTGTTTAGCTGTGTTTGGCCAGTGTGTTGAATGTCAGAACCTAAGGTGAAATTGTTGAGTGATTTCAGTTGATTTTGGTGCAAATCTAAGATTAATGTCAATTGTTCATATTTTTGAATTTCTTGAAGATGGAATTCCAGTAGATGTAAACCTTTTTTTTTGGGCTGAGAACTGATGTATTGAGGTCTGTATTATTTCATATTTCATTAATAATCATGACTGTATACATTATTTTAGTTTTATAAAATTTAGATAAGGATGGTTAAATAGTGGCTTGAATTACAAATATTCTGTTTCGGACAATTTTTTTTAGAAAATACTATAAAGTTCTCTTAGAGAAAAAGCAGAAATTGAGTGATTTTCTTGAAAACAAGCATATGGATTGTGCCTCTATAAACAGCTAGATAGCAAACAGATAGTTGAAAACGGCCTTCTCCTCAAACCAAAACCTGTCTCAAGTGTACCCACAATATATTTACCAGCTGCAGACTTTACACATGGTAGCATCATATAAATTGAACACAGTTTTTACATTGTATTTGTCATCATTGTGTCAGTTTATCACTCTATTACTGCCTGGGATCATAGGGAGAAAGAAATTTAAGTGGTGCACAGAAGATGAAATACGTTGAAAACAGCCAAGCAAATCTGAGAACTGTTTGGGGGTAAATCTGCCTTTCTTTGTGAATTAGAGCATATTCATTTCATACCCAGCCATGTTTCTTTCTATCATTTGAGTGTGCGGTGACTTCACCTTATTTTTCACCCTGCCTTTGGCCTCTCATCTCTCCATCAGAGGCTGACAAAGTTTGAGGTCTCCTCATCCTGCCCTCCACTGACTTGATACCTCATCATCTTCAAAAAGCCTTAACTTGTCAAATACTTCAGTAATGTTCAACAAGGCCAAGTGCCAAGTCCTGCCCTTGGATCACAACTCCCAGCAGTGCTCCAGGCTGGGGTCAGAGTGGCTGGAAAGCTTCCCAGTGGAAAAGGACCTGGGAGTGCTGGTCAACAGCAGCTGAACATGAGCCAGAGTGTGCCCAGGTGGCCAAGAAGGGCAATGGCCCTTGGCCTGGGTCAGCAATGGTGTGGCCAGCAGGACCAGGGCAGTGATTGTTCCCTTGTACTCAACACTGGTGAGGCTGCACCTTGAGTGCTGAGTCCAGTTCTTGGCCCTTCACTTGAAGAAGAGCAGCRGAGCTGCCAAAAGATGGATGTGAATGCCATTTGAGGAGTGACTGAGGGAGCTGGGGATTTTAGCCTGGACAGAAGGACTCTCAGGGAAGGTCTTACCRCTCTACAACCACCTGAAACAAATTACAAGTGATAGGATGAAAGGAAATGGTCTCAGCTTGTGCCGGGGGAGGTTGAGATTGGATTCTAAGAAAAATTTCTTCACCAAAAGGGTTGTCAAGCACTGGAACAGGCTGCCCAGGAAAATGGTTGAGTCACCATGTATTTGAGGTGTAGATGTGGCACTTAGTGACATGGTTTAGTGGTAGACTTGGCAGTGCTGGGTTAATGGTTGGACTCAATGATCTTCAAGATCTTTTCCAACTTAATTATTCTATGTTGCAACATTTGAATGTTCTTGCAAGTTGTCTGCTTTCATTGTCCAAGCTGAGTACACCATAAACAATGAAGTAGCACAGAGTGAAAACTAAATTGACATGTGGCACTGCCAGTGAACAAGGTATGAATTTAGAGCTTCTATTCTTAACAATTTTAATTTTACAAGTTTCTATAAATATTCAATTTTCATGTTAAGACCATTATTGTTTTTAACTAGTCTGTTTTGTATTCATGTAAAATGTTTATAAACCTGAATTGAATTTACATTTTCTCTTCTTTTTTTTTCTCTTACTTTTTTTAGGAACTTGAATTTCAGGATCTGACGGCAGTTTTACACTGTATTCACTCCTTTATAGCAGCAAAAGTGGCATCTGTGGATCCAGTATTCATAGACAGTCAGAGTATTGCAAGAAAATATATGTACAGTAACTSATACTAGATTATATGTTGTGACTACGGAAAATAAATTATTTTCTTAAAGAAAGTAGTTATTTCATTCACAATATTGCAACTTTGTGATTTTATAAGAAGCCTATAGTTGTGTTATCTGTAATGTTAAGAGTTTTCACAATCTGATAAATATTTTGAATCTATAAGTTAAAAAATACTGTCAGACAAAATCATTTTGTTATCTTCAGCATTAATCTAGATTTCTAAGTTAATATTCATTCAGTAATATTTATAGAGTCATTTTGATTTCTGCTTTCATGATGATACATTCTCCCACTTATTTGATAGTAATGTGGAGTAACATTTGAAAAGTGCATGTCCAAAATTTGGCCTCTAAGTCTGTTTTGAGAMGTGTTGGGCACACAGGCAATTTCTGCAGACTTCACTGTAGGAAAGAAGTAATTATTGAAGACAACTGCTGTAGGAATCGAAATTTTATCTTCCTTCTATATATTTGAAAAATCGTAGTTCCATGATGGAGTTCTTTCAAGGCCTGAGAGTTTGGCTCTGGCAAAACACTAAATATTCTGTTTCAAATCTAGGAACATGTTTAGGCACACACTTGGCTCTAAGCACACTAAGCAGCCCCAGTATATGTACAAGGTGTGTATTTAAGTATCATGGTAGATCAGCCCTGAAGATTTAGACTCAGCTGAGAAGCCTGACCTGTTTTAGAAAACTTGCCTTAGGGTTTTCTTATCTTTTAATAAAGCTTCCCTGACCGTTCATTTATTCATTCATAAGTTGCCTTGACACCATCCTTTGATGTAATGCTCTGCATGCCTGGGAACAGCTTTTGTTTGGAGGAACATGCTTCCATTATAAGATGAACATAACAAGACATAAAAATTTTTCTGGGCTGTCTACCTTTTTTTTTTTTTTCTCATAGCTTTAAATGTGGCATACATTTAAGCAAAGTGGATTTTGACCTTGCTGAGGAAGTAATATTGTTTTACTTTGRACATATCCCTAACCTTCCTTCTGAAATCATATTCTTAAATGCATAGATAATTTTTCCTACTATTGAAAAAGTGATATAAAAAGAAGACATTTTAATCTTAGGGYATATTCCCTGTGTGTAATAAGAGAATATGCTCTAAGATGTATGTAAAGTAATACCAAATATTGCAGGTTTCACTGACAGAAGTCTCAGCTGTTCTCACTTGCAGTTTTGAGGCAGCATCAAGAAAATAAAACAATCAAAATCAAACAATTTGAATATCTTAGGTAGATGCCATGGATAAAGGGTGAATTCATCAAAGCCCTCCCTAAATTTTAGGAGTTTTCATCAAGTGTCCTGCTAAAATAAAAGCCTAAAGTTACTGTTTCCTAATTAAAAGAGATTGGTGCCTCTAAAAGGTCTCAAGTGAGGAATGTTTTTACATAAACTCAGTGCATAAGTTTAGTCTGCTAAATTCTCTCCTTCATGTCTCAAGCTGTCTTGGCAGACTGCAGTGGGGCCATTGGCACTGACTTCAGATGGATGCTTCTCCTTCCACCTAAGGCTTGGGCACAAATAAAGTGCCTGATGCAGGAGAGTCGGTCCTGCTAGGRGGATTGCTCACTTACAGTGTTATCCATAGAGAAATTAATTTGAACAGTACAGACTGCTTGCAATTCCAATGTTGTTTAGGGTTCTGATGTGGTTTGCAGTAAGGCATAGTAGGAATGCTAACTCCTGGCACAACAATATTTAACAAATGTGATATATATTTTATTAATTTTAAATAAATCCTTATAGCCATTATGGAATTTTAAACATTAAATCTCAATTTTAAATTAATTTATTTTTTAAAAAATTAAACTTTTTTTTTCTTGAACATACATTTATTGAAAACGTTTCATTTAATTCTCAGCATTCTATTTTATTTTCATCTCATTGTATTTACTGAGGTTTTGACATTCACAAAATATAACATTAACATTAGAATATCTTTCTTACAGTCAATTCTCAATTCTATTTATTAGCATGAACAGTCATAAATGTCAGCCTTTCTGTAGGATGAAGAATAATGGAATTAATTCAGTTTTAAATTTCTGGTATTTTCTCATAGGGAGAGAGAACTACACTAACATGTAGTTACAGTAGAAAAATGTACCAGCAAGTACTGAACTAGTACTACAGTCAGACATCTAGACGTAATGTTTTAAGACTAATGTGATTATAAACAAACATATCTCCCCAAATACTGTAATAAAACCTTAAAATAAATTAAGCTTAGTTTATTAAATAATCTTTTCTTTCTATCCAAAAAAGTTCTGTAGTTCGAAGAGTATTATTGATTCTTTTCCCAAAGCATCTGGATATTGCCCATTCAAATTCCTTATATGAAATTGCTTATACTGATTTGAAGTAATTTGATTATTTGKTTAATGAAATTTCTAAATTCTTTCAGTCTTTTGATATGCTACTGTTTCTACATAGAGTAGTTTTCTTCAGTATGTCSAAATCAATCTCAAGGAATATTAGAGAATAAAATTCTTATAAATTCACCTTCTGAATTTTAGCACTGTATTTTAGCAATAATTTTCCAAACATGTTTTTAATAAGGAACTTGCAGATTCTTATAGGCTCACTTGCTTTTTCCATTCTTTCACGTTCTGTAACAGTCTCTAGGCAGGGACTAAAGGCCAGCTTTTTGAGGAAGTTGCCAGAGCCTGGGAAAAGCTAATGGATTGCTGTTACTGAGCTGTTTTGCAGGCTGTGTACAACTTCCATGGCACAATTGCATTTCTTAATCACACACCTCATATTTGAACATGTTGCACTCAAAATTTGTTTGGTTGCTTATGTTTCTTTGTCAAATTTTTAATTGTCAGGAAAGCATAAAGCCTTCAGAATGTGGATCATATATTATGCATGTGTTTTTCTTGGTCAGTTTTGAGTATTTGCRCCACTTTTCAGCTCTCTAAACAGCTCAAAAGAGGAAAATAGGATTCACAAATAGATCTGCTGATAGATACTTTCCACAATYACCCCTCAGGATTTGCAGGCTGAGGCAGCAGATACTTGCTTTAGSCAGCGGGAATGTCAAATATTTAATTGCTAATGAGATCATAAAACAAATTTAATATTCTTTGTTGCATGCTTGTGATATATGAAGCTTTAGTCTTACTACCTCATTATGTATTTGTGTATAGTTTTCCTTTATTTTTTTCCAGGGAGACAMAGACATACCAGAATTGAATAAAGAGTAAGAGGAGAGAAGCAYTGGTGACAGCAACAGCATAAACAGCAGGCTGGGGAAGGAAGCATACAAACACAGAGTTATAAAATTGGACACAGTGACAAAATCAAGACAGCCTCTTGTGATTAGAAATTAGTAAAGAGGATAGTCTCTCTTTGTCCAAATTATCTTTATGTCTTTATTTAAACTGAAAACTTGGTTAAAAGGCTAAAAATAATCCCATCTWCAAACATGATTTTGAGCAAATGGGTAGTACTGTTGATTTAAATCAGAGCAAGGCTCATCAGTGATTTATAAATGAAGGTATGATACAGCACAGACTTAGGCACTGGACTTGAATCATACTGATGATTTGATAATATAATTTCTGGCCTTTTTTCCTCTACCATGATTAAAATCTGCAGAGAAAATCCTATGCCAAATCAAGCTGAAGTCAGCTCAGCTCTGTTCTCAGTGCATGGCTTGATTGTACTACCCTGTTGAAAACACCAGAGCATTTAATAGAGAGAATGTGGCCAGGCTGTGCCAGATGGCCTCAGGGATAAAAAACAGGCCCTGACAATTTTAGTTACAGATATAGATGTTACCASAGTGTTTCACTGATTTAAACTGACCTATATTATTTAATTTTATTTTTGCCTGTAATCATAAAGCCCAGAGTTATAATATTGAGGCTGTGCTGATCCAAAGCTCAAGTTGTGGAAATCCGAATGAATTCTTCTAAGGTTAGSATCTTAGAAAAAGTATTTCAACGTGATTCTCAACCTTGAACCAGAAGRCCTGAAGCTTAAAAAATAATTTTCTGGGGGAGTAAGGCTAAGGTCTGACAAAGTTTGCCACCATAAATCTATAATCCTGTATTGTATCTGAGCTACATTAATTCACAAGTAACTTCAGACAAGGTATGCCCTTACCACAAAACCYCTAATGTGTAGTCTGATCTTTGTAGTGGGGCAAGCAGTATTTAAAACTGCCTGGATTTCTTTCTAAGTAAAACTCCATAAATACTTCCCCCAAAATACTGTCTTAGAACACTCTCCCATCCACCTGAGGATCTCCTCTATCACAGTGCTCAAAGTGAGGTGTATATAATGGCAATGCARCTTTTCTGCTTTTGTTCACTTCTGTGGTTGATTTAATATAATTGGCCTGTGTCCTCCAGTAAGCTTTTGAGGGCAGAGAGGGTGAATGTTAGGAAGGAAGCACTTTTCTCCATGTACTCATRAGGCAAAGTGGTAATTTCTGTCCCTCTTTCCAGTGCATAGGAAATGGGGCAAAGCACTGCAAAAATGGAAATGAGGAAGGATGGACAGACAGACAGACAGACTGTGAAATCTTAAAAAACTCCTCCACTTAGATATGCAAGCTAAAAATACTTCTTGAACTCATTGTATTCACTTTTGGAACTTCATCAGGAAATGAATTTTTCAGTGTAGTTCTCTTACTTTGAATTGCCATTCTTTGAGTTATGGATGCTGACTAGTTAAAGACTGCAAAATGAAAATGTAAAATGTATCATTTAATCATGGGGGTTTTTTTTCTTAACCTATGCTTTAAAAATGTTTATGTAGTTTTGTGTTGAAGCTTGTAGAGAAGCAATTATCTCATGTGAACTAAAAGACCTTGCAGTAAATTTATTAAGTAAAAAACATATTTTGTGTTACATGCAAGATGAAATCAAAGACATATTTTAATCTGGTTCAAACAGAAAAATTCTCAAAATTCTCAAAATTCTCATTATTTTAATGAAATTTAAAGCTATCAAATTCCATGGACATGAGCGAAAATCCACTGCTATTATAAGTCCAAA